TGACTTGGACGGCTTTGAAAGGGAGGTCATCTGAGCGAGTTCCTTCACGGTGGTGGTTTGTGCATAGATTGTGCAGTGCAGCTTGTGCACTTGACTGATTCTCCACTGCCGTGCAGGTGATGGTAAATGGAAATATTTCCTACGTCCCTGGCGTTGAACAGCTCAATGACCTGCCTGGTGTCGTGCAGATGTCTGACATCTACCGGGTCTCTGTGACTCGTCAAGCAGCTGGAGCGGACGAGTGAGACAGGAGGGAAGTGGGGGGGGGTTCTGAGGTACCTGAATGCCTCGTTGAACGGCCCGAGTGCCAGAGCCCCAACAGTTCGCAGTCGCAGCTCTGAACGGACGTGAGTTGTTTCCGCTTTCGCTTGCTCGGCGAGGCCCCGGAGACGCTCACTTGTATTTCAACTTCCACAGCCCTCGACGGATCGAAGTGACGGAAGACATGGCTCACTCCTCAGAGATGTAAACGCCCATCAGTCGCATCCGTTCAGTTCCATTTGTACCAGACGGCCTCGAGGCCATGGCCTTCTTCATCATTTTGCTGATGATCGGTGTGTCTACCAATTTGAACCAGACACTCCACAAGCTGGTCGTGCAGCCGATGGAAGCCTCGGCATGTTGCGAGAGCTGCTTTGAAGCTGAGCAGGGCGAATGTGTGTGGTTGGTGCCAGGAGAGCATGTTGTCGGTGGTCAAAGACAACGCGGCCCAGTTGTTGAAGCAGTTTGGGCTTGAAGATGACATGGACCGGCTGTTGATGTGCATCCTACGCTGTGTTCCCATCCAAAGCCTTGCAAGTCTGCAGGATCAAGGCGAGGAGGATGTGGAGGAAACAGAGCTGCTGGAGGTGCCCAGACAGCTTGTAGCATCGGAGGTCGAGCCGGCAACTCCAACGCTGGTTGAGTGCTGACTCTCCTCGCCGTGTTCAGGGCATCTTCAAGAAGTTTGCGCGACTTGCAAGCCTAGCGGCCGGGCGCAATGAAGCCACGGCTGAAGAGCTGGCAGGTTCGCTTCACAGCATGTGCTCTTGAACGGCCCGCGCTTGTGTAGGGCAGTGTAGGGTATAGGCTTGTCTCGGCCATACTCCACTTGCCCAAAGTATCCACGAACCACCTGCAGGAATGGATGAGTCAGCACGAGGAGTCATGATGGACATGATGAATGTACAGGCCGAATAGAATGTTGAGGGATGCTGCATCAACTCGCCAGCACTATGACCTGTTCAAGAAGCTGGCAAAATCGCAGGTTGCCCCGGCTACGACAAGCGATGCAGCTGCTTCTAGCTCTCTCCGCAACAGTGCAAACCTCGGAATCGGCTAGAGACGAGGGTTTGTGAGGGAGCCCGCCTGTGAAGTCATTGCATCGAGTTCCAAGGCGGCATTTCCCACCCCAACACAGGGTCTGAAGGTTCGGGGAAAGCCGTCGCTGATCTTGGCTTCGCGCTTCGTAGTGTTTTTTGGTCAGGTCTAGAGGCTGGTGAGATGTCTGCCATGTTGGACTTGCCGGATGTGCCAGTCGTCAGTTCAATGCCTGTAGCAAGGCTGGGGCAGGGGACTTCCGGGTTGCCTCTCTCAGAAGACACTGACATGCCTTGATGTGCAGGGACACGGTGGAGTCTTGGGAGTTGGATGTTCTGTCAATGGACACCGACGCCCAGACGAAGGCACCAAATGCCGGATTGATTTCGCCCGAACCCGGCCCGCTGATTGGTGCCAGGTTGCACTTCATATTTTCTTCGACTCCTTGGTTGGACGAACAACCGGTCGATACTGGACCGAGGCAGCGCTCCTGCTGCTGTAGCGGCTGTAGCGGCTGTAGCGATTTGAGTTGTGGACTTGTGTTGCATGCTTTTCTCCAGGCGGCGACGTTCAAGCGTTTCCACTCAGTCGTCAAAGCTGGTTACAACGACCTCCCATACCACAATTATTCCCACGCGTGTGATGCAGCTTGGGTTGCACTCTCCCACACTGCTTTCGACAACACAGTGCATCTCGACGAGTCGAGGTGCTGCACACCGTTTACAGATTGCTTTGTTTGTCGGCTTCAAGCAAGTGGCTGGGAAGCCGGACTCTCAAGCTCGTTTGTCGGGCATGGTACTTGAAATAATGAGCCGTTCGCCCGGACCTGTTGAGCACTTGAGGTGTTGACCAGTATGCACTTCTAGTAGCAGCACTCTGTCACGACATTGGGCACGCCGGACGGACCAATCCGTTCTTGGTTCGGCCCTCGAACATGTTGCCTGACTTGCAGTTGGGAGCCTGCATCGGCTGCCCGTGCACAGGTAGAGCTGGGGGATGAACTGGCGCTTCGATACAACGACAAGCAGTGAGCTGAGTGGCTCCGCCTTGCCGGATAGCTCAGACAGGTTGCTCTGCGGCTCAAGTGTTTTGCTGCAGGTCCCCGCTGGAGAACATGCACTGTGCGAAGCTGTTTGAGATCGCCTCCAAAGAAGAGTCGGATGTCTTCAAGCAAATGGACAAGGACACAAAGAAGCAAGCGAGGTGCCTGCTCTTGTGCATGTCTCTTCGTGCCACGGGCTATCGGAAACGTTCCAGGCGGGTCTGTATCGCGTCGATCCTTCACACAGATAATGCCAATCACTTTGACATGGTTAGAGAGATCAGCAAGGCTCGAGCTGCACAGCTGTTAGGGGGTTCACGGTGCCTCAGCCGCCTCAGCCACTGTCCTGCTGCAGATCTACGAGTTGACGTCGGAAGTGTGCAACGCACAAGCTCGTCACCCAGATCTGCTCCCCCAGTACGTCGAGCAGGCGAGACCTGGAGTGGGCTGCAGTGCAGGAAGAGGCCTGACAAATGTCCCCCTTGCCAGGTCATGCAGAAAAATTGCATGCAGTGGGTAGAGCTCTTCTTGCACTTCGCGGATGTGTCGAACCCCTTGAAGCCTTTCGACGTCTCGGACCCGGAGCGACTGAGATATGTTGTACGCGGGATCAAAATGATGTGCAAGTAACGTGGCTCGCCGACTTAGATTTGCAAAAAATGGGCCTGGCGGGTGCTGGATGAATTCTTCGAGCAGGGTGATGAGGCCCCCGTGATCTGTCGCACAGGATCTCGGCCCCAGGAAAGTTCACCACTCAGCCGTTGCAGGAGAAGCGTCTAAGCCTTCCCGTTGGAATGCTGAACGACCGCGACAAGATTAATCGGCCCAGATCCCAGTCTATCTTGCGCAGAGACGCAGGGAGATATTAGAACATGCTGGCACTTGGGCCTACGATGGCCTACGCCCTCGGAATCACAGGCCTGGCTCGCAGCACGGCTTCATCCAATTCTTGGTCGCACCGCTCGTTTACACGACAGCGCAGACCCCGGAACCGGAATCAGAGCGATACGCCGCAGAAGACCTGCAATCCTGCTGGCTGAAAAGCCGCAAATCCTTGTGCCTCCAGGTGAAGATCTTCCCCGAGCTCCATCCGGTGCCTTCCTCAGACCGTCTCTTCTTGGGGTCTCATTGTATGCGCCGCGGGCCGCATCTTAGGTATATTCACAAATGGCGGAGAACTTGGACCAGTGGAAGAAGATTTGGGTGGAAGAAACCTCACCAAGTGATGAGGCACGAATTTATTGTCGACTACGTAGCGGATCCTGCGGAGCGAATGTCCGGCCAGGACATTGCGAAGAAAGAAGCGGACGTGGCAAAGATCAAGGATCACCTGCTGTCTTTTGTGACGGGACTAGCATTCGTCGCCAGGGTGGGTGTCGTGGATGCAGTTCCCTCATTTAAAAAATAGATGATTTCAAGCCTCAGGTTCCCATCATGGTTCGAGGAAGTTATTTGGTTTATCGCCGAGCACGATTGAGGCTAACAGGTGTTGGGAGGAATAAACTAACCTGTGCTACACACAGAGACAGGATCAAGGGACAAGGGAGGGGGGACACAGGGGGGACACAGACGCACAGATCAGCCTGACCTGACCCGTGAGCGCGGCTTTTTTCAGCAGTAAGCAGCTGGGCTTCCCCAAGCGGCAGGGTTGGATGGAAGAGCTCGCAAAGCGTGATTGATTGCTCGCGCGTCCATTTTCTTGCTGCAGCCAGGATCAAGCCATAGAGCTTGAAACTCGAGTTCTTTGAGGTTCACGGCTTGGGCGCCGGTTGTCTTATCGGCAGCTAGATTCTAGATGCATCCAACAGCTGCAGATCGCTGAAAGGTCGCTAACGCAGTGATGATGGGGGTCGCCTCGAAGAGGCCCCGAGCCTTGACATTCCGCTCTGCATGTCTGCCGTGGGTCCGTGCGTGATGTTGTCAGGGCTCCCGTCTACCACAATCACAAGGACACAGCGTGTTGCCGCACTGAGCCTTCCTGGCTCGTGCTCTTCACTCTGTGAAGCCAGAAACCTCACAAAGTGAAGGTTGCTACCTGGCGATGCAAAAAATCCGACATGGCATGAAACGATTACTCGAGAACTCTCTCGGGAGTCACATTCCTTTGACAGGGGGAGGCCGTATGTGACCAGCACGATAGGCCAGCAATGTGCCCTTTCAGAAGCCCCTCGAGACAAGTGAAAACCAATGCACGAGCCATGTTGCTGTGCTCTAACTTGTTCACACCCGGCCCTGAAGGGGCCAAACTCTGAGAATTATTGCCATGGAAGTCGAAAAGCTTGGCTCTATAGGGCTCTGTGCAGTTCCGCTGGAATGAGCTGGAGCTTTGATCCAACCAGTGACCCGGAGAATGGTTTGATTTGCTGCCCAAGGGAGAGGTAGGTAGGCAGAGCGTGTGCGTGACTGCCCAGAACAAGGCATCGCATCGTTTGTGCACAGAGGGCACTGCGTGACTGCGCATTTTCAGTCTGAGGTGTACCGGCCTGATTCTGGCGTCTGCCGGCCGGATACACGGCGGATGAACACCTAGCAAGGCCGCCTGCCCGCCTGCCCGCCTGCCCGCCTGCCCGCCTGCCCGCCTGCCCGCCTGCCACATCCCCTGCGGCATGCTTCACGCTTCGGATGTACGAACGCTGGCAGGTACGCTGCTGGCCCTGTGATGCAAGGCACCCAAGGCATGGAAAGCATGGGAGATGGCAGCATGGGAAACCCAGCCAACGGAGCTAACGGAATGGCTGGCGGCTGCGGCTGTGGTGGCTGTGGTGGATGCGGCTGCGGCTGTGGACCCTGCTGCGGTGGTTGTTGCGGGTTTCCATGCGGAGGAATGATGGCCATGCCGATGATGGGCATGCCAATGATGCCCATGATGAACCCGATGATGGGACTCATGGCCGGCATGGCCAGCATGGCCAACATGGCGAAAGCTGCCAAGGCAGTGGAGCTTCTTTTGTGATACTCGTAGCTGAAAAAGAAGGCTTGTCGTTCATGAAAGTGCTTGCGCGAGGCAAAGAAGAAGGCCCCCGAGCCTGAGGAAAAGAAAGAGGAGGAGAAGGAAGCCGCACCGGCCGTGGAAGCTTTCAACCCGGAGGAGCGAAGAGCGGGTACGTCAGGGAAGTGGAGTGAGGCTTCTTTTAAAGGGTGTTCAGTTCTGGAGCGGTTTCCTTGGAGAAAGCGAGGAGCTGCAAAAGCGGCTGCTCATGGCCCAGTCACAGCGCTTCGCCGAGGCAGGTTCCAGACCGATCCTTCCGAAGTCCAGTGCGTGGGCTGTGGGCCCGGGCAGGTGGCGAAGAAGGACCAGGACGAGGACGCCGAGAGCCAGGATGCAACTCGGCGATGTCCGGTCTTGTGTCGTGGGGGTGCTGCACCTCGATGCCGAGGATGGAGAGCATTCAGACAGCGGCAGTGAGAAGAGTCAAAAGAGCAAAGGTGAAGGAGGAAACGAGGCCATCCATGCCAGTTTGTCAGAGTTTATTGTGCATTTTGCCAGTCTCTTGCTGGAAGGAGAAGGATGCCAAGAAGTCGGAGGACGAGTCGATGAGCGAGGACGAAGCTCCGCCACCTCCGCCGGAGCCTCCCCAACCGCCTCCGCAACCGGAAAAGGCTCCCCAACCCAGCGAACCCAAAGACCCCACACCAGCCCAACTGCAGAAGGGCCCGGCCCCTTTGGCCCCAGCCCCAGCACCCCCACAGGAACCCCCACAGGAACCCCCAAAGCAGGCCAATGCGGGTAAGGCTCAAGCCCAGCCACAAAAGGCTCCTTTGACTTGGCCTGGCCCTCCACCAAACACTGACAGAATGGACCCGCGGATGCAGGAAACCCTGCAAAAGCTCCAAGCCCTCCAAGGAGGAGCGCTTGGACAGGTGTCGGAGGAGCAGAAGGCCAGGCGTATGAAGGCTGCGACTGCCGCAGCCGAAGAGATCAAAATGTCTTTGGAGATGAAGGGCTCCGAGCCTGGCACCGAGCAGAAAGACAAAGACAACGATTCGGAGAAAGGTCCCGACACAGCCATGGGTGTCGTTATCCATTGGAGCGGCGTCAGAGGTTTTGGAATTCTGCGTTCGCAGACTCATGGTGAGGTCACTGTCAATGCCAAGGATCTAATGAACGCTGGCGAGCTGGCCGTCGGGGACGTTGTCACTTTCGAGCTGGGCTTTGACAAAAAGAAGAACAAACCGGAGGCCAAGAATGTCTACAAGTCCGGTGCAGGTGGTCAGAAGTCCAGTGGTGACCGCAGTGACGCGGCACGGACATCCACCAGCAGTTCGGCGCCTGGCACTGCCAGCAACGGCCAGTCCAAGGCAGATGCCAAAGAGAAGGCAAAGGATGCAAAGGAGAGCAAGGAGAGTAAGGAGAGTAAGGAGAAGGAGCGGAAGGAGAGCAGCAAGAAGGAGAAGAGTCAGAAGAGGAAGTCGCGCTCACGACGGAAGTCTTCTTCCTCCTCCTCCTCGTCCTCGTCTTCCTCCCGCAAGCGGAGGAGAAGGTCTCGCTCTCGATCCCGCTCACGTCGCCGTCGGCGGTGACAACGTGAGTTCCTTTGTCTGCATGGCCCAGCATGGCCTAGACATGGTTGTGACTAACTTTGTGAAATGTGAAACTGCTGAAATAGCGCAGCTTTGAACACCGGTGCTGAGTCTGAGGCTGCAGCCGAACGTGCTGTTGCCATTCTGCGACGGTGAGACGAGTAGTTAGCGCAAGTGTACTTAATCGGCAAACGCCACCCATCCAAAACTCAGCATGCGTGCTTCAGTGTGTTTAGAGAGGCTGAGTGAGACTTCGGCAAGAAGGAAAGTGTTGATGAGTCCAACGGCATGACATGACATGCCTCCCCCGAGCTTGCGAAGCTAGTAAGACCAAACCGTCCACTTTTCTAGGTTTTCTAATCTCAGGCGTTGTGCCAGGCACCCTTTCAAGGTAAGCATGCCCTTGGTTCTGACCTGGTGTGGACAGACATGGAGGCGGACCGCCATGGATTCATATCTTGTGCCGGCGGCCGATGAAAGACGGCGCATTGTGGTGCCTGGGCAGATGGGATCCTAGACAAGCTTTGCATGAGGGCCCTAGCTGGTACTGTAGGCTTGGCGGCAGTAAGCCGACTTTGCGCACGGCCGTTTTTAGGGCTCGTGGATCTGTCAGGCGAGCTCAACTCATGTGGAAGTGTTGTTTTTGCTTGGGACTTCGAGGCATGACTCCGGCCGGCGAGGCAAGGTTCACGGAGGGGAGCCGCGTGATTCTGCACGGCTTGCGCGCCAATGAGATCTTCAACAACAGAAGGCTGGAGACCGGAAACCTTCACGGCCAGCATGTTGAGTTGATGCGGCGCGAGCAACCTGTCTCACAGGGGCAAAGTTCTGAAGAAGCTCGCCCTACAAAACTCGCATGGGCCAATTGCGGCTTACGAAGTCTGCCTGACAGATGGTCAGCTCGTGAAGGCTCAATTTCGTGCCGCGGGCTTGCACACGTTGTCGGTCTGCCAGGCCTTGGATGCGAATCTTGATTTGGCCCCGCCTCTGGCCGATGCCGAGGCCGAGGAGGAGAGAGACGGGTATGCTGGTGTCATCTCGCGTCTCGGTGTTCTTTACCTGGGAGCCTGTCCGCCTGCCATGCTGTGCAGGAATCCTGGAGCGATGATGGGAGCGACCATGTCGACCTCGAGAACCTGGTGCACCGACGGCTGATGGATTGCATAAGGTCGCGGGACTCTTGCGCTTTGCTTCTCAGGAGCGGGCGAAGTTAATGGAAGAGCTCTTCCAACTGCTGGACCAATCGCAAGAGGGCACTCTTAGGCGGGAGCCGCAGACAAGGGTCCTATCGTCCTGTGGCCTGTGGTTGAGGGGTTGCGTGCAGGTCTCAAGCTCTCCATCACCTCGCGGTGGCATGTGGCTTCGAGGGAGGGCCTGTAAAGCGGGAGCCTTGGGGGAGCCCAAAAGAGCCCTGGGCATGGCCCCCTGAAAAGCTTGGAAAATGGCTCTGCCAGGTGGGAAGAAGAGTACCAGGCCAGGCAGCACTCGGCCATAGGCCTGAGCACATGAGCACAGATGCGGAGGCCTTGTGCAAGCTGTTTGGCACCTCGCCTGGTGCTGGCTTCCAGCAGATGGAGTTCGCCAAACTGCTCTCCAACGAGGAAAGAGTCTCAGAGTGCGACGAGTGCGAGCGACTCCTCAGAACATGCACTTGCCTTGGCCGAGGCGCTTCCCACGTACTGTCCAACAGACGAGTTAGCCGACCTTGTCGCAAGCACACGCCAGCACATCATTTCTCGTCGTCAAGAGCAGACCACGTCCATGACTTGGGATGTCGTTTGCCCTGCCCAATACTGTGTTGCACGGCACTCTCGCGCTACGTGCACATTGGCGCTCGTCATCGTCCGAGGTCAAAAGAAGACGAGAAGAGGCTGAAGGACATGGCGCCTGACGCTAGCAGCCGTAGCTGTAGCAGTCTCGGAGCCTCAGCAGCTAGGACTGTGCCAAGTTTGAGAAGTTCTCTTGGCACCCTGGCAGGCGGAGCAGTATCGAAAGGACGCTGTCAAGTTCATCTTTAAGAGCCTGGACATGGATGGTGATGGATTTCTAAACGGCTCGGAGATGCAACGATTTGCAGAGCTCTGCGGCTTTGATGACGAGTGGGAAGTGGAGTACGAGGTGCCGGTTTGTTTTCAGCCCAACAATGTTTTCTCACTGGTTTACTCGCCTGGAGCCTCCTTGCCCCCGAGTACTCGTGAAGGCCTGTGGGGTTCAAGCCTGATGTTGTGAGGTACCGTCCAGGTTTGCAGCAGTACATCACGCTATTGAAGCTACTGCCAGGTGATGTGCGAACACATGGGTATTGCCAAAGAGCACGGCGCAAGTTTGGCTGACTTCCATCGCTTGGCAACCTGACAGTCGATAGTTTTTTGGGCTCGGTCAACAAACCAGCGAGTGTTAGACTTGTTCTGCATTCATTGTAGGCCTCATCTCGTAATGAAATCCAGAGGCCGTTCAAAGGTTGCTGACACTACCGGGTCTAAGTCAGGGCCATCATGCAGGGCTCGCACGGATCGTTGGACAGGCCAGGCCACGGTTGTCAGCGTATTGCTTGGGCTGAAAGCGCACCGGAAAAGACCCACACTAATTACCAGTCATTGGTTGCAGTGTCAAGACGGTGTTTTGTCAGTCTTGCCTGCCTGAACTTAGGTCAGCGAGCGAAAGAGCCATGCCTTCTGCACCCGCAAGGAGAGCAACGACTCGTGCCGGTTAAGCCCCAAGCCCTGCAACCCCAAGAACTGCAACAAAGTCCCCGGAGCACTTCATAAAACGGTAAAATGCGCACTGCATTGCGGTGGGCGATTTTTGGAGGCGAAGACACGAGTCGCATCTCTGTGCTGGGAGTGCGATTTCGAGAGGCGGAAACGCACGAGACCGTCGCAGGAAAACAGTTGCTCTTGGGCCTGGATTCAAAACAGGCCACCCATGCAAATTGCCACTTTTGGAGCCAAGTGCTATGAACGAATGCTGGACTGGCTTCAGCGCAATTTCCACCCAAGAAACCGTCAGTTGGGGAGCGCGATTCATCAAGCTCTGGCAAGAGGGCGGAAGAACGCGCTTCTGGTCGCCGCGTCAGAGCCGCGTCACAGTTGAAGTGCGCAAGTCTTGGTACGCCGGCAAATCATGCAGCAGGGAGAGCTAAACTCAGCTGCCGGATGTTGTTCAGAACCCGAACAGACGAGCTACGGGGGCCCTCAGCCGTGCTTATGCAGGACTTGCGGAACATCGCCAGTCAGATACGAGACCGGTTTCTCGGGATGCGATATATAAGCTCAAGCGAATTTTGTCATCGTGCTTTCCAGAAGCTGAGGCGCGAGTCGATCTCCCGCAAGCAAGCCGCCATCCGAATCCAGGCGTGCACACGGGGCAGTCTTACACGGAACCGGCTGCAGCGACAGCAAACCGTCGCAGCCGTACAAGCCTGAGCTGAGCCTGAGGGGCCCCGACTTGCAATGGCAATGCGTGCAGATAAAAGCAGGAGAATCCGACCTGATTGAGGTCCGCGGACCTGCTCCCTCTGCGGTTCCTGAAGAGAAGGACCGCGGAGTGATTGACGTGCCCGAGCCTCCACCGGCTCCTCCCGAAAGCTTGAGGCTCAGTTTGCTGGACTTAGCGTTTCACAGACCATCGTGTCGTCATCGCTGGGCCGAGGCGAATCGGAGGACCTCCGTCATGCTGGTCTCATGGTTCTAAGACAGCATCACTGGATCGCTGCACGTCGCAAGGGTCTTGTGGGCGCATGTAACGTCTTGGGGTTGGCATCTGTCCATTCTGATATCATCTATGAGGACAGCTCGAAGCCGTGAACCACTCCTCGTCGATGAATGTGAGTTCGGCAGCGACTCTGTAACGTTAATGGCACCGCACTGCTGCAACCAGCAAAGCTGAACAAGCGGCGTGAGAATGAGACAGTGGCTGTGGCTATCTGTGGCTTGTTGCTTCTCACAACACATGGAGCCACTCTGGCCAAAGCTCTGGCCAAAGTGCTGCTGCCGATGTTATTGCTCGGCCTGCAGCCAGAGTGATCGTGGGAAGACACGCCTGCGGCGACCTTCTGGCGTGTCCATGCCACTTGTTGAACGCTCTTGCGCCGCACCTTCAGCCCGTTCGTGACTGCCTGCTCGAAAGGCACCATGGTAGCCGAGCCACGGCGCGGGTTCAACCCCAGGTTAATGCGTAGACTCGTGTCAGTTTGCATGTAGCCCGCCGCGACAGACGATAACAAGGTGGCCGGTTAAGACATGGCCTCGAGCCAGCGCCATGCCTGCGCTAGATGGAGAGAAGAGCGCAGGTTCCGGGATCGCGGAATCCAGGCCCCCCAAAGACGGATTGGGCTGCAGCACTGGAGACTTTGCCTGTGGGGCACTCAGCTATCTGAGCAGTGTCGGAAGCTTCTCTGCGTCGTGGTGCGCTATTTTCAGTCTTTCCATAAACCAATCATGGGATGGACGAGATGAGAAACAGAATGGCATGGTGCAGGCACTTGACTAAGTGACCATGTGATTGCCGCAGCCAGAGCTGCTCCCAGGCGCTGCCGCCGAAGTGGGACTGGGCAAGGTGCTCAGGGTGGACAAAGGTCCCCTCGAAACGGGACCCAAGAGGTCACAGTGTGTGTGTGTGTGTGTGTGTGTTTGTGCGTGCGTGTCTGTGTGGGTGTGTGCACACGTAGACTTCTTTCTCCTCAGCAAGGTCGCGGCAGTTCGGGAGAGGCCATCGCCGTGTATTCGTGGGAAGTGCAAGCTCTGTGGGGCTGTTCTGATCAGGTCAGAAGGTTTGGCAGATGCCATTGATGCATTGAATTCGGGGAGGCTTCGACCACCTTCCTATTGAGCTGGTTCTAAGGCTCCGGCACGCATCGGACTCAGGTGTCGGCCCTTGCGGCTGGGGACGCCTTGTGCAGGCTTCGAGGCCAACCTGCCATGAGGGAGGATTAGAGCAGGATGCGTGCAGACGATTCAGGCGCCGTACTTTGCTCTCCGACAGCTGGGCGTGCAGCATTTTGAGCATGTCTTTACGATCGATGCTCGCGCCTTGGCCTCTCCAGCAGGCTAGGGCCGCGGCGGGCCGCGGTGCTGTTTGCGACGTTCCCTTGTTCTGGCTTGTACTGTCTGAGTTGTGAGCTTCACAGCTTTTACAAGCAAGACTCATACCCAACAGCCAGGCCATGCTGCCTTATGGCTGAAACCCAGGACAAGTGGGGATGAATCTTTGGGGTGGTGGGTGGGTGGGAGTAGATGTTAAGGTTGCCACGTAGCTGCGCTTGAGCAGAAAGCCCGAAGCCCTTGAAGCTGAAGATCCCGGTTCCGCGGTTCCGTTTTCGGGACTCCAGGTCGGCTCACATGCTGCGAAGTTCTGCAGGAATTTGAATCATGTCAGGAGCTCGGGCTTCTTGTCGTTCTCTGCTCGTCTCACTTCCAACTGACAGAAGTGGCTCCAAAGGCCAAGAAGACTTGGCTTGGCCAGGCGGAGGCCATGAACTGACGCCGTCAACTTTGCAGAAGCATGGATTTGGGAGAGTCCATTCTTGGATTGTTTCATGTTTGGAAGGGCGACCTCATGAAACTGGATTTGACCCAAGTGCCTTCTGTGGACATTCTTGTTGCAGGCCTTCTATCAGAGGGAGAGTTCGTAAGTCGTTGCTGTCATTTGTGAGGACCTCCCTGTCAACCCTTCTCTTCGATGGGGCGCCGTGATGGCATTCGCGATCCTCGAGCGGGAGTGTTTTGGTGCTTCTGCCAGTGCTTCCTCTCTGACTCTTGCCTTTCAGAACCTGAAAGTCGCCAGTCGCCAGGCGAACCATTGACCTCATTGCAGAGCTGGCCCGTCGACCAGGAGAGGAAGCTCTCAGGCCTGGGCCCCTGGGCTGTGGGCTTCTCTTTGCCCAAGACTCTTCGGGATGTCCATGGCTTCCCGAATCGAAGCTAACTTTGATTCCAGGTTCCATGTGCATTGAATGGTTTGCCCGGCTTGCGGCCTCACCATACGGAAGTGGTGGTTCATCAGTTTTCTTGAAAGGCGCGGAAGGTTCTGAGGAGAAAAGCTCTTGTTGCAGACTTCTCGCCTCGCTGGTTCTTGATATCACGAGATTTGCAATGGGCCATTCAATAGGTTGTTGCGCAAAGACTCCCCTCTTCTCAGGGTGGCCGGGTGCAGCTACGCAGTTATCGATATGCGAGTCTTGACTGATGAAAACACACTCTAGAGAACTTTCGCGGCGTTCTATCACCATCCTCTTTTGTCTGATTCGCCCACTTGGCGACTCGTGATTGTGTCACATGGTCCCGAATCCGCCAGGTGTTTTATCCTCGAGAACGTGGACGGCGTCAAGATTGCAGATGCTCACGGGTTCCGAGGAATCGACGAGATCATCAGGCTGGAACGCTTGTCGCCGCATGCTCTCATTGTTGCAAGGCCTTGCGCAGTTAGTGCTGGGTAAATATAGGCGTCTGCGGGTGGCAGCGCCTGCCTTCACCGTGAGGCTAGCTTCTTGTTGCATCATTGCAGCTTGTTGGCTCCTAGTGCTTCTACTCACTCTCGCGATTCGTGCCTCATGCAGGGTCTACGACATGAACTCGAAGGACGGAGAAACTAAACTTCTCTCGATTGACTTGCTTTGGACCTGAGTGGAAATCTACGCTCCGCTTGAGGATTACTCCCTCCCGCAAAACCGGCAGAGAGTCTATTTCGTCGGAGTCCACAAGTCCATGCAAATGCCTGCCACCAAAGCTCTTGTGCCGACAGATGTCATGCAGTGTTTCACGGTCAGGATGAGGACGATTGCTAGTTGATGCTAACCCCCGCCACAACTCCAGATCTACCTAGCAAGGCGCAAGCGGACGTTCTGCACACCGCCGGCGACACAGCCATGCTTGCCAGACGTGCGACAAATCTCTGAGACATGTTGCACTCCTCGTGTTGCGTGGGTGTAGTGTTCAAATGTCACAGTCCCTTGTGCCACGTGACCTCGTGGGAGGCTTGAGTAGAGGTATGGCAATGCGCGGGCGGAGGAGACATGAGAGATGGCAGTTTCAAGAGCGGCGATGGATTTGGCTTGGCCTCCCGTGCCGTGGCCCTTCCGCCGTCGAAATGGCAGACAGCTCTTGAGACTCTCTCGCGAGCTCAGAACCATGGGCTTCGCCCCAACCGTTTCCTTGCTAGTGCATGTGCAAAACACAATTTCTGGTCTCGCAGCCTGCTGCTGCTGTCCTGGTTGCAGGCGGCTCAAGGCCGACCGGATGCACATTTTTGTACGACCATCGAGGCTTCTTGTGCTAGGTCGTCCAAATGGGCAGCAAGCATGCGCATTTTCGAGAAGCTGTGCCATCTAGCGCTACGTCCAACTGTGGCTGCCTTGAATGCTGCCGCACAAGCTGCCTGCAAGACCACGGACTACTGGCAAGGGGCTTTGCAGCGGCTCCGGCAAGGCACCAAGATGGATGCATCTGGGCTCCAGCTCGATGCTGTTAGCCTCGTCATAAAGATCACCGCCTTGACTAGTGCCATGAAATGGCCCTCATGTTTGCAGTCCCTTGTGGCTTCGGAGTGCCGAATCCTGCGTCCTCAAGCGAGCATAGCGAGGAACGCCGCAGGTAATTGCTGTGTTCAGTCGTCAGCATGGACATTCCCGCTGCAAGTGTTGAATGGCTCCGTTTTGTCTGCGGACCCAATCGGAAGCAATACGATCCTCCGCGCGCGAGGGAAATCAATGGACTGGCAGGCAGCTAGCGCCGTTTTTAGGGGAATGCAGCAACGACGGAGCAGCGTTAGCAGGATCACGCAGAACACCTTGTTGGACGCTTTGGCCGACGTCGAGCAGTGGCGAGAGAGCCTCGAAGCACTGCATCTGCCAGTGCTGCGTCTGTCTCCTGACGCAGTCGCCGTGGCGGCTGCGATGGCAGGCTGCGAGCGTGCGCGCGCTTGGCAATGCTCCTTCGCGCTGATGAGCGACAAGCGATCGCGGAGCCTCAGCTTACCCTGCCAGCCTCACGGCGCCCATGGCGCTGACGGCTTCGATGTTGTGTTGACGAACTGTGCGATAAGCGCCACTGTGCGAGCCTTGTGCTGGCAGGGGGCACTCTCTCTTTTCTCGAGCTTGCTGTGTGCCGATGCAGTAGAGCAGGCTTCCTTGGGGACAAGCCTGACTGCGGCAGCATCTGCGCGCGAGTGGCCGATGGCTCTTGGTCTGCTGGGATACGTTTCTGCCTACTCCTTGGAGCTGGATCTGCTGGCTATCGCACCGGCGATGCTCTCTGTTGGGTCTCGATGGCGTCTTTCCCTTTGCCTGGCTGGCAGTGCTGCGGGCGTGACTTTGGCGGCCTTCACGCCGGCGGTTGAGTCGGGGTCTCGCGTTAACGCCCCGTGTTTGCCAGTGTTGCTGGAAGATCTGGCAACCCGGCTTCATGTCTTTTTCTGTGAGCATGGCCGGACATCCGAAAAGAAGGAAGCTTGGGCACAATAGGCAATAGGCCCATTCAATAGGCCAATAGGCAAGACCCAGCGGGGCATCAGAGAGAAGCCAGTGCTTGAGGCCTAAACACGAACCCGGTCCCAAGTTGGAGGACATGCATCTGTCAGTACTGTTGCTTAATCAGCAAGAGGACGGCTCTGCCCTTTCCTGAGCAGGATTGGCTGGTGAAGCCCGAGAGCGTCCCTGACCGCTTCAAAGAGGTGTAGACAAACAGTGGAGGACGCAGGTCGCGAAGGTGTTGTTCACTGATGCTTGGAGGTCCCGCACAGCTTGAAGACCAAGAAGAGAAAGTTCGTCTCTTGGCCGCTTTTGCGAGGGATGGTGTCGCATTGGCTTTTGAGGGGTTCCGCTCAAACTCCCGCTGTCTCGGCCAGGACGAGAAGCTGCACACAGAGATGTGCGGCACTCAGCATGCTGCACGTGCAGATATGCTCTTCAGAGTTAACTAGATGTCTGTCCTGAAAATGAATCCGAGCGAAGGGCCAAGCTTCCGTGGCGGGTCGCCTGCGGCTTTGGCTGATCTTGGCCTTCTTCAGTCAGATACGGAATCGCTTGAATCGCTTTCGCCTGTGGGCAGCTAGCATCAGCTGGCATCCTGCCAGAGGTGCAGAGATTCATCGGCATGTGGACTCTGGTTTCGGTGGTAGAATTTGCACTGTCTCCCGGCTGCCTTTACGTGTTGGTTGCTACTGTAAATGGAAGCCCGCACTTGCGTAGGACGTGATAGGGACGATCCTTAGCTCTCCAATGACCAGCTGCCACCTCAGATCAGCCAGCGGGACAGCGGGAGAGAGAGTGAGGGTCAGAGTCTGGGTCAGTCGCGGTGGGATTGAAGAAGGCTTCTGTCGCGGCGAAACAAAGAGGAGTACATTTGGGTGCAGCTTTCCTACTGTGACAGACTGTTCCTGTAGCCGACAAGCCATCTGTAATCAGCCCCAGCCGTTGTGACGCTACGCTTTACGAGGACACCGATGCCTTGCCCCATCAGCTTGGATGGCTGAACACCGAGAGTACCTCTACTCAGCCCATCTCAGCCCATGGAAAGTATGAGCACAGGGGGTGAAGGCAAAGAATTGGTTACCATGTCGATGCTTATGAACCGGAAGATGGAGGTTGCAAAGTGCTTGCACGACAGGTCTCGATCATTGCACGCTTTGGAATCCGAGAGGGCTTGGCAGTCGAGCTTGCCCCTGAAGCCCGACGACTCGGCTTGCCTTCCTGGGTCTTTTGTCCGGAAGCTATGATTGCGGGACACTCCACGCATCAAGTTCATGGAATGTGTCAATCCCGAAAGCAGATAATTCTCTGTATGGCTCCGTTCAGAGAACGAAAGCTGCATCTGCCCCCTACACCATAGCCCTGGCGAAAGAAAGAGAGGGGGGGTGTTGTGGCGCAAATTGTTGTTGCAACCACTGCAAGGGCACATCCGAAAAGATCGCATGCAAGGGGGGAAGACTTCCAAGGACTGTCATCCGCAACACTAACACATGGTAGCTCTGGAGTTTTTCATCTGCGTGCTGTGCAATTGCTTCATACTTCTTGGCAGCCTGAGAAGTGGAGTCCAGTGATGTCAAATCAGAGCCAGAGCATTGCCTTTATGATAATGCATTCTGCCTCTCTCCACTCGGCCGGGGGCTCAGAATGATTTGGCACATTGCCCAAACGAAATGGCATGCAGACCGTCACTCCAGTCTACTGTACGGGGAACAAGGCTCCGGGAAAGTTGACCTCCTATTCTCCGTGTTTACTATTCGTCTTCTATGCTGACATCTTCCATGGAGCCTTGAACGCTGGGAGGACATTTCATGAGAGTATACATTTCTCCCTGTACTGTTATCGTATACGTGATTTCAGCCTTGGGGAGATTATACTCGTTCGTCACACCCCTGCATTCCCGCACAACAACCGTGCGGGTGGGCTTGGAGCCCGGGGATCCTAGCCGACCCCAATGCCCGGGGGAGAGAGAGAGAGAGGGGCAACAAAACATACTGGGCCAAAACGGCGCAGAAACAGACCCGAAGAGAGACGAGGCGCGAGGCGGGGGGTCACTTCGGAATTAAAGTAAAGGGTCGAGGGATACAACAGATCCTGCCCGTGCCTCGTCTCAGCCGAAGAGTTTCACAAAGAACTCACAGACCAGTGCGCGCCTGCGTGCGGGAGGGCGCTCTTGCACCCTCTTTGGCTGAGTGCAAGCAAGAGACAGAGACAGAGACAGAGACAGAGACAGAGACAGAGGGAATAGAACGCGCGCGAGGGGGTATTGCACCCTTTGTCCGAGTGCAAGAGAGAGAGAGAGAGAGAGAGAGAGAGAGAGAGAGAGAGAGAGAGAGAGAGAGAGAGAGAGAGAGAGAGGGAGAGAGGGGGGGAAACCCCACAAGGAACCTTCAAACCACCCGTGAATTGCGGGTGTGCGAACTTCGCACGAGGAGCAGGGCCGGGACGCAGCTCTGCCCTCAAGCCCGGTCGAGAGAGAGAGAGAGAGAGAGTCCTGATCCCTGCAGCAGCACTGCCTGTGACCTTCCACTCAACCCAGGCTTCTCACAAAACACAGCAGGTTCGCAACTGACTGAGGGAAAGCTGGGTCCTCCTGAGTGTGAGAAGTGGCGGGTCACCCGAGGCTCGCGTCTGTAGAAGGGGTAGTTCAGCAGAAAAGGAGCGCAAGCCATCCGGTGCCCCCCGCAGTGGGCTTTTCCGGCCCTTTCTGTTACCGTGTTAACCCTACCTACCTGCCTGACCCTGCCTCACACCCAACGGAAGCCTGATCCCTCACAGCACCTGCGACCTTCCACTCCACCCTTAAGCCTGGGCAGCGCGCCGGCGGGAGGACTGCTCCCGCCTCAGGCCCCTAGCAAAGCAAAGAGAGAGAGAGAGAGAGAGGGGTCCCTCCGTAGCCATGTTGGCTCAAGTTGACCTGCCGCTTCCCTTCGGGGCGGCATTCGAGGGCGGCCCTCCGGGTTTGCTGTTGTCCGCAGCAAGCCTGTTGGGTGGACGTCCCTCCGAGTGGAAGGAGGCTTGAGTCCTTCGCGGAAGCCGCAGGTTTAAGTGGCCCGTTCTCCTCCTCCACAAACGTAGCTGCGCCAATTGCTCCCGGTGCAGATAGTGATCCTTGCGCAGACCCAGCCGAAGGCCCGCCTCGACGAGTACGGTGTCCACGGATCCCGACGGTGCCGCTACTTGCTGACCCAGGGGGACGTCGGGTACAGCTACCACTAAGGCATCGGCGACCCTAAACGGGGGGTACCTCGACGATAACCTCGTGGTGCCGGTTACGTGAAGTACTAGTTTGTGACTAACGTGCAGCCCGAGAATGCAGTCCACGCCTCTAGCAGCTGGGAATACAGCGGGGGATGCCACTCCGATGCCGCCGATGTGCGGAAGGTCCGTCCTACCACGGAGACCATGACCGACGAGACCCGGAGTGTTGCCTCTACGGCTGCAGTGCCACCAGCCATAACGACACACAAGCTTTCCTGAAGGAGAAGGCCCTGAGCAAGGCCCGGCTGGAGGCACGCCAACAGGTCGCTGACGAGATGGCAAGGGGGGCTCCCCTCGAAGCATCTGAAGCAGCACCAGCCCGCGTGGAGGTACAGAACCCGAAACACTTGTGCGAGAGATGTGTTCGAGGGCCATCTTTCCATGGCAAACATGACAGAACAGCCTCAAATTGCCTTCTCTACGGCGCGGACAACGTGAGCAACACTAAGGTGCAAGAGCACTTGCTAGCGCAGGAAGTTGTGCTGGCTCGGGAAGAAGCTGTCCGTGAACTTCGGCGTGATGTTGCTCAAGCCTCCACCAGCACCCCCCCACCACAGAAGGCCAAAGACAGGTACAGACTTCAAAAGTCTGACACCAAGCGCGGGGAGACCCCCAGGACCACCATCATCGACAATATGGACGCTGAAGACCCCTTGCTGGAACCACTGAGTGATATCCTAGGAGTCCCCATGGAACAAAAGGGGAACCGACAGCAGCCACGTCCTTCTACCCCAGTTAGAGCATGTGCCAGTGCTCCAGCTGCTCTTGTGCCGCCGCCGCCATCACGGTCAAGGCCCGAGAACTAGCAGGCAGCTGACACCAACGCAAGAGTTGAAGTCACTACAACTTGTCTTCCTCGAGCACTACATCCTCTGTGACAGCACGGGCCCCTCCCCAACCCAACCAGGGTCTTTCCTTCCGCCGGTATCGACCCCTTCGCCTTCTACATCTTCTGAGATCATACGGGGACCTCCCCGATCCAGGCTGGCGCTGCTCGCGTGGTACTAGTGCAAGAAGCTCCAAGAACGCTGCAACCAAGCTCGGAGGCCAGCGCAAGCGGGCCAACACGGGAGGATCTGGCACCAAGACCGCATGAACCAGCTGAGGGGGAGTCGGACCCCACACGCGCGCATGCAGCGCCGAACGCCGCCGGGAATGTGACGACCCAGGAGGAGCACGCCAACGAGCCCGACGACATGATCGGCAACGACAACCCGCCAAACCACGGTTTGCACCCAAACTTTGACATATTTGACGACTCCTTCGAGGACTCCAGTGACGATGTGGCCAAGTTTGCGGCTGAGGCCGGGGACGTCCCCCACACCAGCCCGGCAAACCATGTCCTACCTGTACCGAACCAACAGGAGAGCCACCCACCCTTTCGACGAGGCAAAGAGAACGACTCCTACAGCTGTACCAAAACGGGGACATTTCCAGGGAGACGCCGAACGAATGAGACGGACGCAAACGTCTGGAGGCGGTACAGAGAGCAATGCAAAAAGGGGTACAGAGACTATCGGCGGGACAAAAGGCGACTCCACGATTGGCAGCCCGACTGGAAGCGTCGACGAGAAGGGGAACAGTGAACGCAGTCGCGTGAGAGATCCATAGTGAGCGGGCTTTTTGAAACTTTTCTAGTCATGCGGGGGAACCCCCAAGGAATCTCTGCAGACCTTTTGACTAGGAGGAAGCATCCCTCTTCTTTTCCATTCCTATTTCGTCCGAGATATTCCGAGATGCTGTCATCATGACTTCAACAAAAGTTTGCGGGGACGTCCCCATGATGTGCTTGCCTTGCCTCCAGCTGCGTTCATGTATATCAGAGGGGTGGATCCTTTCAACTTTCGCCTATGCCGCATGCTAGGCTGTGCCATATGACCGGCCGCTGAGCCAACCACCATGCCGATCCCAGCTCTCAATGAGCTCCCTGTAACTATGTAGATACTTCCCAAAAGGGCTGTTGCCCTCCTTCTCAGGACGGTTGCACTTGTCTCAGTTGGCGGGGGGACCCCCTGCTCGTCTTCGCTGTCTGTCGGAATATCGGGGACTCCCGCCAACGAGAACTTTTTCTCCAGCCGCGTCGATGGCATTTGTCTGCAGTCGGCCACTTGGCACCCGCAACGGTCGGGGGCGCACAAGCGCGCGGTGAGGGGGGAAACCGCGTCACCATAACCCTGGCGAAAGAAACGGTCCCTCCGTGAGAGTGTTTTCTGTTGCTTGTTCAGGGCGGAAACAACACAACCTGGGGCATCCCTCTATACAGCTGAGCTTTTCTGTGAAAATCACCCAGGGGGGACAGTGCCTGCCAAAAACTGCAGGTGTGGGCGTTCGCACGGGGAAGGTGGCCTGGATGCTACCTCCCTCACGCGCTGGAGAGAGAGAGAGAGAGAGAGCAGAACGGGCCCTCATCTGGCAAGCCAGTCTCACAAGGGCGCGAGACCTGTCCAGCGCGCGGACTCGCGCGAGTGTGGCGTGCGCGCTGCACTTTGGCTGTGTGCAAGCAAAGGAGAGGGTCCCTCCGGCAATGAACCAGTTGTGCGAACTCACGCGCAGGAAGCAAGCAAGGGGTCCTTTCGACGACATTTTGCTCTCTGCAGGGCCTGCAAACATTTGTAAACCTAATAAAGAAGTTGCGTTCAGAAGTACATATTGAGGCAACGGCAGACCGCCAAGCCGTGGTCCATCGTTGCTCACACCATGTGATAATTTGAGCAAACGTGAAGCGGGACGCAATATGATTGAGATGTCAGCGCCAGTTGTGCTCGAAGGGTTTGTCACGACGTGAGCTAGTGCAGGGCGGTTTTGGATCCGCATCTTCTTCTGCACACTGCCTTATGTCAACCTTCAGTCTCGATTTCTGGGTGTGTGTGGCACAAGGGGCATTGTCATTGTGTAAACACGTTTCCTCACATTGCTCACAGCCCATCAGCCGTGGAAGCTTGTAGGGAGAGGTGTGCTTGTATGCGGTGCTCCAGAACCCGGAACCCTTCAATGAGACGGTGAAATGAAACTTGGGAAGAGGGAAGAAGTCGGCATGTTTACCATCAGGCTGGCTGTGGATTCGCGATGGCGAACAGGCTCAGTGTAGAAGTTTCGCCAACAAGTCCGGTTCTCCACCCATTTGACCTACATAGGTCACGGAGAGGCCCTGTTCTGAGAGCGAACGTGTCATGCATGTTGTTGGTACCGTCTCCGAAAGTCGCATACGAGATCGCTACTTCCCGTTGAACAGCTGCATGTACAAGGCTTTCCGAGCAGGCCAGGCTGCTTGGCTGCTCCAATCTTCCGAAGGTGCCAGACTGACCCCCTTGCAGGGATCCCCAGCTGGCTAAAGCCTTGCTCGGTCTCAGGGATCAGGACTGCCTTGCGCAATTCGTCTGCACCAAACCATGGCGATGACGATTATAACTGCTGCTACTACTACGACGACGACAGTTGCTGCGACCGACTAGTTAACTGGCTTCAACAGTTCCGATGTCGCTTTGCGTTGTTGGGTGCACGACCAGCTTCTCAGGATACTCTGTGCTGGAGAAGTTGGAAATTCGAGAGCCCTGCAAGTGTGTGGTTCGGGTTCATTGTCCCAAGATGTGCGAAATACATTATCAGGATCTTGGAGAGAACGTCTCCGTTTATATTAAAAGCGGAACCGCTGTACCGATCCATGCGGTCACATGTTGAAGCTTCTCAATCTCCGGGAGTGAGGCAGGTAGATGGAGTCACCAGAGATTGTAGTTTGAAGGATCGGGGAACCCGTTGTGTCTGCTGGCATTGGTGGCTGCACAATCACGGCCATCAATCAGAATGATGGCTGGGGCAGCCGACTGCACGTGTTGGGGAGGCTGCCCACAACCCAAGCCCCGAGCAAAGCAAAGCAAAGAGATACAGGGATTGCGCACATTCGCAGGAGACGCCGCAACAGAGACGGGTTCTGCGCCCGAAGACCCAAACGATCCGCACGCAAGCAAGAGAAAGTCAGAGCCCTTCCTTGAGGGTGGTGGGCGGCAGTGATACTCCCGTCAAGCCAGAATGATCTTGCGCAAACGCTGAACCTCCTGACCTACCCGAAAGAAGAGATGATCTACTCTGCAGTGAGTGACATGTTTTGGTCGTTCTTTGCCGGCAGCTGTCATTGTCTGTTGGAACAATGTCAACGATAAGAGCTGTTCGGTAGAAAATGGTTGCCACAGAAGACTCCCTTCTCGAACATGTTGCTGCGCCCCGCTGTTGTAGCGAGGAGGTCACAACTGGAGCTGGTAATGCGATGAGTGTGCAGCCCTGAGTGATGTCGGCAGTGAGCTAGTGGCCCTGCCGCCATCCCTCATGTATTGAGCAGCATTCGTGCTCGTAGGTTCCAGTAATCGGATCCGTGCTGGCGGACATATTCGTGAAAACTCTTGTCGGCAGGCTGTCTGGCCGTCTAAAGCTGCTATGCAACCCTTCCCATGCCTTCCCGTTGCTGCATGGCTGCACCGTGTCGAGGCTGGATGCGGCGATGGAGGCCGATGCATGCTCGTGTCTTTTGACAGCAGGACGCCTCTGCGCAAGGTCTCTGATTCGGAGGACGTGGATGGAGAGTCCAGCCAGGTGCCCTTGTACACCGCCATAAGCGATGCCGCTGCGATTTTGGCGCGAGCTGGAGGGGCCTACCTTCCCCCGCTTCCGATGTGGATGCTGGCTCCACCTCAGGACATGACATTGCCGTGTTGTCGAGTGCGGGCGAGGTGCCGTTTTCCATGCTCCGCGAAGTCTCCTGGAGGAGCTTGCCACAGGGGCCGGGCGGGCAACCGCCCCAAGTGTTTCTTTCGTTTGATCTGGTACAGCCGGGTAGACAAGCAACTCCGAGGGCCATGGGTGACGTCTGTGTGCACTCCGGTCGTCGAAGCCAGAAGTTGGTGCTGGGACGAGATCCGAGGAGCCGGGATGCAGTAGTAGACGATGAGACTTTGGGGTAACTGTAACTGAAACGCTGGAAACCAATTGGCAATGACGTTCGCTTGGCTCTGATGGTCGCATCGGTTCCAGAAGAGAGGATGGTGAAGGAACCCTTCGTTACCCCTTGAGGTAAGTCTCACCCTGTCCGGAAGAGTACGAGTCAGAGCTTTCGGAGACTCCGCAGTGCACCTACCAGGAAATATGCCAGCATTGGGCCCTCAAGGAACAACAACTACACCAAACACCAGTCTTTGTCTAGTGCATGCAGCCTGTATAAATTGTAAAATTTCCTCTGTGCGCCCGAAACCTCTGCAAGGCGAGCTTCTGCGCTTCTCCTGGAGGAGAGACGTTTTGAATCTGGAGACGGACGTAGATCAAACTACAAGACATCTATGTGCACTCTAGGCCGACCGTTTGCAAGAGACGTCGGTCATCAGCCGAGTTCATGCAGAACTCATTCCAGGACAGGGAGGGGATATTCCCAATAAACATTCCAGTACCTGAGTCGTGTTTTGTCAGGTTCTCAGCCAGGCGAAGCCTTTGTGCCCGAGACTTATTGTGTCTCTCCTATCTTCAAAGACGGGCAGAGGCTTTTTGCTGACAGAGACTGGGATATGACTGTTTTCAGACTGTGTTGGACTTAGTCGTGATCTGGGCAGCACAAACGGCTCATGGATTCTGGGGCGTGGACGCATCTGCCCACAAAACGTGGAGATGGAGGCGCTCCATGGAATCCATACAAAGTTGAGAATCACAGCTTCCACACGTAAGCACATATACGCCGGCCACAGTGACATCTCTATCAGTCTTAGGGTGAGTCGGGAGGTCCTGTGCTGCGGAGACGAGCTTTCTCTCGGGGTGGACCCGTCGACGTGGCAAGAAGGCATTGACACCAAAGGGTCAGGTGCGACGGGCATTTCGCTGCATTCGCATCTTCTGCGTCATATTCAGATCGTGCACACTACCTGCTGTGAGGCCACAGCAATCAGAACTACCGCTTCCTGTATCGGGTGGAAATGTGCCTTGAGCGGCAGACATGAGCTGGTGCAGTGTTGAGCAGGTTTTTGACTTTTGCTGGCTTATGGCCCAAGGCCTACGAAGCGCCGGCGCACAGAGACGGCTGAGACTCCGTCACCTGCACCAGAGGCTGTTCTCCGGCAGCCGTGAATGCTGGCTGGTGCATTGAGAGAGATTCTGGCGACAAATCTCTATGTAGATGGGATGCTGAGGAAGAGTTGGTGCAGCAGCAGCATCCGGAGCCTCCCGCGAATGAGGAGTCCGTCTTCCCCTCTGCTGCCGCCGCGATAGCAGCCCTGGAATCGCTGGAGCATGAGAGATGAAAAGTGCTTCTTGGACACCACTTGCTGCTTGTCGCTGTGCGATGTGCTTGATGGTGACTAAGAGCGCACCATATCTCCGGCCAGCTTCAAAGCCAAGGGAGCAGGTTGCGTGAAATAGCCAATGCATATCACCATTTCGCAACGATCATGGACCAAAAGTAGTGTTTGCAAGTACAGAACCTGCCGAGGCAATCGCCAAGCGGCTGCTGAGTGGAAATGCCACATAATGGCCTCAGCTTAACTTCCATTCAGCCAGACCAGTGAACAAAACACAAACAGGTCAACATCGTCGAGCAATGAACAGGCCAATGTATCAAGCCATGTTGTTTTGAGATGGTCAGAGCGCTGGCGAAGTGCTCATGGCCGTGATACCTAGATTTGGTGGCAGTTGCCCCCATGTACAAAGACTTGGCGGCATGGGCTCCAAGCCTAGGCCGCGAACGGGGCTTCTGCTCGCAATGCTGTTGGTGCTTTCTGCATCCCAGCCGGAGCCAGAGCGGCTTCGGATATTGCATGCAACACGCGCAGAGAGGCGGGTCATGCTGCAGGACGAGGTGCTGGAGTATATTGAAATCGACTTACATTTCTCAGCGCCTGTCTATGCCGTCAGCTGCGCTCAAACTCGCGGACTCCATGTAGCCGAGGCAGACCGTTGTGCAAGCTGTCCGCCTGGCTGCACTCTATCGGCCGCATTTAGCCGATTTCCCTACGTCCCGGACTTGTTGCCAAAGTTGCAATCGGAGCCCGAATGCATCTGTGGCATCAGCTTCGAAGAGATGCAGTTGAAGGTTCAAGCTTGGCCGGGCGACCAGGGCTTCGGTGCTTTGGTGGATCGTCGGCCGGCCTTCATCCATGGAGTTCGCGACACATCCATCATGTACAGTTCCGCCATCTGGAAGTTCGACGCGCTCATGGCTACCATCAAATGCCCGAATGAGGCCAACATGACCCCAGCATTGGCCAGAATCCGACGATTTGGCATCAACGGACCTCCGGCGGACAATTCCCTGTTGTGGTTTCGGCGCTTCGAGACAGCATTTGGGGTTGAAACCATTCACAGACTACTGGCCAATGCTTCGAAATCTTACAGCTCACGACGTGCTATTTTCCTTCTGCCGGTGAAGCGGACAAAACATGGACGCACCAAGCAGCTCGGACTCACTTTGCAACAGATGGCAGGTTGTCGCTTGGAGCTTCCCTACTTGGTGGGTCCTCGGGGAGAGCCAGCGGAGAGTGTCGAAAATGTGGCTGCTTTACCTGAGCAAAAGTTCGCTTGCAACTCTGTTGGCCTGCAGGCCGTCCATCGGCAGATGAAGGCTGTAATGGACCAAGTCTTGACAGCTGGCCACCAAGACGGCCACTGTGTTTCAGACTGGAGAACAACCTTCCCTCCGCGAGGGCGAGGGGGTCCTGGAGGAACGTCTGGAAGTGACTACGTTTGGGGAGATCAAGAGGACAATGAAACTTATTCGCCCTACACGACTGCAACATCTGGAGAGAGAAGTCGGAAAGTTGGTGTCTTGGCATATCGAAACGATTTTGTATCCCCTACACCTGATATGGCGATGCCGTGCAGCGTCTACAGGTGGCAGTTGCGTCTTCGATCACACAACATGCGCGAGCGTGCGGTCTCATACACTGCAGTGGATGCGGTGAATGGATGCTGGTCGATGATGGAGAGCAGCTTGAGGTTCGAGTCTCGGCCAGTCGTTCTGGAATCCCAGAGCTGCACGAAAGACCCAGAGGATGACGACTTTGTGTTCGATCCGTGCTGTAACTTGCAAAGGCTCAGGTGGCAGTGCTGTGCCAAGCAGACAAAGACACTGCAGCAATCTGTGCTGACGTCGGTGGATTTCAATGCAATGGCTCAGTGTCGCAAGGATGAGCATGGAAGGGCAAGTTTTGCCAAAGCGGCTATTGCAGCTGCAATGGCCTGGAAAAGACGCTTGACGGAGCCGCTGGGTGTGCAGCTCAGTTGGATGAAGTTGGCTCTTCACGAACAGGCCAATGCTGCGATGTGGCGATCAATCGAGCAGTGTCATGCGGATGTCATGGGCCGCTTTGATCGTGAGACTGGTATGTACCTGGGCACACCATGCGTCATTGACAGCGATTGTTTCACACGCTGCCGGAAGCCAGTCTTAGAAAGCTTGGAGGTTAGGGTTGCGCTGAACCAGGGATCTCCAGTGAAGAGGACGGTTTTAGGACGATGCACTGTTCCCTCCGAGAGCCGCCACGTCTACATCGTTCGCTGCCTCGCCCGGCGTTTGGGCAAGGAGGTGGTGGAGCTGCTGGCAAAGCAGCTGGGCCTTGAAGTTCCTAGCAGGAACGAAGAGGCCATTGCCACTTCCCTCACGGACCCCTCCCACATGACGAGCGCGTGCGTAGGACCATTGGCAACGCCCGGCTGGGCCGTGTCGATGCAGGAATGTTTGAGACAAGAGGGCTGCAACTGGCACCATGAGATAAGATCTGCAGCAGAATGTACAGCTGAGCAGTTCCAAAACAATGAGTTCTGTGGCTGTCTGGAGGGCAGCTGCCCGCAACAGAGCAGGCGAGCTGGGTGCATTACTGGTGCCAAGTACACAGACTATTGCACAGATGCTCGGGAGATGCTGCGGCCTTTGGAACTGGCGTGTGCAAGCATTGCCACAAGCTCGCTCGAGCTCGCTCGGTGTCGAAACTTGGCAGACGTACACAGCTTCATGTTCAGGCACTGCATTTCATCTCCTTGTTTACCAAGAGCTTCTTTCTTTTGGGCGGATGAGAAGTGCAACGACAACATGAGACGTGAGTTCCAGGGTTGCTATGATTCCTGTGTCATGCCCAGTGGGCCGAATCCTTCAATAGACCGAAGTGTTTGTTTCCACGAGTTGTGGCCCAACGAAACTGATCAAGACTGCTACCAGAAGCCGGGCGATACAATGGTCCATTACAGCCCACCTTCAGGTGCCGAAAGCATCGACGAGAATTGGGCTGGTGCGCTGCGTCTTGAGTTGCCCAGTGACCGCCGGCCCCGATACTGCTCCATCCGCTTGTGGCAAGAGCTGGAGCAGGCCTACCCGCCGCGTTCCCTGGCATCCGAAAGGGCGGCCTTGCTGTACCGGGTGAGCCGCGAGAGCCGCGAGAACGAGGCCGAGCTTCGACGCACGGAGGGCCAGAGGAGGGAAGATGAGGTTTTTTCCACTGCGGAGCCTCCGAGATTCACAGGTTGCGACATGGGCCTCTTGCCGCTGACAGCAGATTCCACCATTGCCTGTAGAGCAAAGACCGAGTTCACATGCTGTTTTATGCCGACAAACCTCACAGCAGGTGCTTGTGAATTCTGCGCATTGGCAAATACAACGTCCTGCAGCATCGGACAGAGGCTCTCTGCAATTTGGGCACCCAATCTCCAGCTTTACTCGGCGGTGTTGGCAGAAGACCTAGGCAGCGATTTGGCCCGGGTAGACTGGGAAGATGGTGATACCTATTACCGTCAGGTTCCATGGGCCTGGCTGCGAAGCAGCTCTGGAACAGGTTGTCATCCCGTCGAGGAGGGCTGTGCAGCTCACCACCAATGCCCTGTTGGTTTCTACTGCTTCAGCTGTGAGACATGTGCACTGGCCTATGGAGGGAACCCTCCCCCGGGTCTTTGTGACCCATGTCCAACACATAGGGGCGGTGGCTGCGGGCGGCTCGATGCGTGCACGCGCCTGCAGGATAGCATTGACAACGTCTGCCCCACGGAGGGTTTGATTGAATGCCCTTGCAAGGAGGAGTGGAGTGTGAGGTACCAGTATCCAGGGGCACCGTCGGAACAGAGCATAAACGATTGCTACTTCGACGTGTCGTCCAACAGTCGCTGGTGCGAAGTGGATGAATCCTACTTTGGTACCGGGTGCAATCTTCAGAGACTAGTGGGCAAAGATCGGTTCATTTTTTGGCAGACTTGCCGCCCAAAGACCTGCGACTTCTGCAACTGTGACTGTAGCGAGAATTGTCAGGCTTTCGACGTGCTTCCCTCATACGGCCGCCTTCCGGCCGAAGTTGTGCCTGGAGCGCTGGATGCCATGCTGAGCAACTCGATGAAGCGCTTTGCCGGAATCGTCGCTCCAAATTGCACACAAGGAAGTTCTGCCCGCATCCGCGACATTTGCGAATACTGCGTGGCCTGCTGCAATGATTTCTGCAATGCAAAAGCCAAGGCTGAAGGCGGCTTTGACTGTACGACCACTGAGGTATCAGGCTGCTCTGACATGGTGCATGGATGGGTGGACAGCGTGGGCCGAAACTGCCCAAGCTATGTGATAGACAGTCTCTGCACCCAGCAAGGCCTCTATGGGACCAATTGGGTGTACAACCCCCCGCGTACATTCGCAGACTTTTCCTCCAGTGGCCTGGCTGCGACTGATGTTTGTTGCGACTGTGGTGGTGGAGTGGACTGCAGCGACAGTCCCTTCGACTGGGCCGATTCCGATGGGCATGGCTGCACGACTTACGAAACCTTCAAGTGGTGCAATCGGACTGGGTATGGCCCTGGCTGGGACTTGACTTGGGGACCTTTCAAGCTTGGCACCAGTGGCGTGGATGCCCACACGGCCTGTTGCATCTGCGGTGGTGGGCAAGGCCTGGTGGTCCCGGAGGTCATCAACAATTTAGTGAACGATGAAGCAACTTGCATGGCCGTATGGCCCGGGCGAGCACAGTGGCAGCCTCCTCCGTGGTTTCAGCGCGGCATTCACCTCTGTCAGCTACACAGCAACATCTGCGGTCGCAAGCTGCAGGCGACTATGTATGATCCGGCAACCGCGTCAAACTTGGCCGACGACGAGCGCATCTTTGGGCTTTGCCTCCAGCGAGCTTACGACACGGGCACGCTCCCTTACCTGGAAGACTTTGAAATGTCTCTAGCCCCAATTGGGCCCGGGCGACGTCTTCAGAGGATACCGTCTGGAAATGCATCCTTTGTAAAACTTCTATCAAGGAAGATGAACTCCAGCGCCTTGCGGCGCCTTGCCAGCCATTTCAACTTTTCAAGGCGAATGGCGGTTCTGGATCGAAATCAACAGATGGATCCGACCCTCTTGACGAGGCAGCTTTTCCGCGAGGGTGCATCTATACGTGTGGACTTCTTTGGTAATCGTGGTCTCGGTGTATGCTATTATAGGATGCCAGATCCACGTGAGATGTATGGTGGTGCAAACCGCGAGGTCTTTCCTCCACCTCTGCTTCCCACGAGGACCACAGAAACAGACGTTTTCGAGAGGCCCACGCTTCAAGCTCTCGGATGGCCGCAAAGCTTCTGGAGCGCTCTCTTTGAGGATGGTGATGCAGCGTCTGCGCTTGATCTCGTCGTGAACCCACAGAGGTTCAACACCGCAGGTGATTTCAGTACCGTGCTGCGAGGTTTGCTTGCCAAACACAATGTTCAGCTCGTCCTTAAGGGCGAGTTTGACAACCGAGTCCAGAACTGGACCGCTTGGTTGGCCACCCTGTCATGCAAAGGTCCTGAGGACGATCTCACAAAGTTCAGCCAAGGAACAGAATGGCGCCCTGCAATCCTTCACGAACGTGAAAGCTGTCGTGTGTCTCGCTGTGATGTAGACGACATGATTCTGGACGAGCTAACTTGCCGTCTGACTTATGGCTGCACGGCATCATGCACGTTCTGTGCATCTCCAGCACTCGCCACTCAAGACAACGGCCTCTGTGTGTCAACTGACACTTCGAGCTGCACCAACTTGGGAGGTATGGTTGTTCAGGGAGATCTCTTCGACGAAAGAATGGGGGTGAGGCGGTTTCAGCGAGTCTGTGCTCTCCGGCATCGGCCCACGATCTACTGCATGGGTCCCGGGTTCTCGGTCAAGCGCTGTGAGAACTTCGACGAGCAAAGCTGCGAGCAAGATCCGCTAGCGACTTTGATGGGATGCTACCAGGGAGTCCGGCCCTGCCAAACAGAAGGTCGCTGCCAGATGTCCGGACACTGCAGCGATACAGACATTGGCCTGAACCTGGCCAGTCCGGGGACATGTGTGATTACTCCGCTTGACGACAACCTCTTGCAGCAGGGCTGTTCGATTGGAGGAGCTGGTACATTCCCGGACGGATTGTGCTTCTTCCGCTTGGACCCTGCCTTTGGTATGGAAGTCCGACGCCGCCATGGCTTGATGGATCTGTCCAATCTGACTTCTGATGGAGTGGGCACAGAGCTTGAAGACGCTGCTGCCTGGGCCGCATCATTGCAAGAGGCCCGGCTCGCATCGGAGACGACCAACACGGACCTACTGCGTGCTCGGCTGCGAGATGCCGGAAAGCTGAACCGCTCCGAATGTGAGGCGCTGAATCCGTTGGCGCCACCTTTTGAAGCCGTTTGGATTGAGCGATCCGTGACCCCACAAGGATGTGCCCGTTGGAAAGCTTGTTGCCTGCTGCAGCAAGGCGACCGATGTGAGCTTTTCACCAACAATGCAGTCAATGCAGAAGCCGACCCGGACCTTGCACAAGCAAAGGAGGCTGAGTGTTCCGAATGCGGTGGACACTGGGTTGAGATTTTCTCATGGACGGCAGGTGTGTGGAAGCGGGGTGATCTACTCTCGCCACAAAGAGGTTGGTACAGCCGCCGCTGGGGGAGCATCAATCGCTGGGTTGAAGTTGTGGATATTGACCTACTGCGACGGCTATTCGAGAATGCATTGGAGGAGCGGCTTGGGAGACAACGCCTCAATGCGGCCGTTAGCATGGTGGAGCCCCTCATGACCTCATTGCAGCTTTTCGCAGCTGCTTGTGGGGATGGGGCCGACGTAATGGATGCTTCAGTGCAAAGGGCAGAGTTTCTCGACGACAAGCTCGCTGCACCTCCTAGCATACAGCTACCTTCCGGCACCTTTCAGCTGGGACAGATTCTAGCAACGTCCGGTCTCATAAGTTCTGGATCCGTCGGAGATGTGCAGCTTTCCTGGCATGAGTATAGTGCATCACGATTCGGTGAAGCAAGTGGGCCAGCAGTGACTTACGATATCAGCCTAATGCCCTTTGAGTATATGCTTGGAGCTGCAGCGTCGCAGATCGCCTTGCCCGGTAGGTCGGGACTGGTGCGGAACTATCTGCTCGATTATTTGATTGTCCAAGACACTACCACCACCCTGTCTCCTGCGAGCATGGAGACCATCGATGCGGGCGGCATACGTGGCGGCTATCCTGCGTGGATCATCAACGAGATGCTCAGGTTGGACATCGACGAAGAGGCGGAAGCAGAAGAGGCGGCCGCACTGGCCGAAAAGCTGGCGGCCACGGAAGCTAGGTTTTTGTTATTGGAGCTCATGTACGTTGCCACAAAAGAAGGGGTCGAATTGTAGAGGGAGCTTAAGGCTTGAGTTCCTGAGCAACCCAGGAAGAGACCCGGCGCCAGGAGCGGCTCCGAGCTCAGGAAGCCGCGGCTCAGGCCGCAGATGCCGCCTCCGAACTGCCTCCCGCCTCCCTTTTTGTCCCTGCCTTAGCTTTCAACTTGAATTGAGCTGCCCCGCCCTCCTGCTCTCCGTTCTCCTCGCTTTGGATAAGCTTTGAGTCGAACTCCGAGGTTCTAACTGGCGAGTACCTTGAGAACAACTCGGACGATGGCTCTCAAACTGGTGACGCCTTCCACCTTGCCAGCTTCGACTGCAGGAATATTGTTGCAAATGCTCAGGGTGAAGTTTTTGGGCAGATTATCGGGGATTGCGTGCAGGTGCAGAGCTCCCAGACGATCGAGAACTCTGTAGAGCTATGCTTGCCTCTGAGCTTTGGGACGCCAGAGGACATCGGCGCCTTCAACAGTACGGCTCAGGTGGACGTGGCTGGCATGCGCTTCGATTTTGCTGTGAGCAGGATCGTTCCTGACACTTACGAGACTGAGCTGCCTCCTCCCCTGCAGTCAGGCACTGAAGTTCCCGGCAGGCTTGGGGATGTCATGTGGAACTGGAAGGACAGCGGCACCTATGGTCGTTTGGTCCCAGGCAGTTTCCACCTGACTCCAGCCAATCTCGCTGCCGAGTTGCGCACCGACGGAGCTACAGGGGCCCGGCTTTGCTCCCGTATCTTTGCGGCGGAGACATACTGTCCCATTCTACGCCTTGGCACGCACTTCCGTGCCCCGATCTGGACGAATGCTACAGGACAACCTCGGGTAGGCGGCTTCGAGTCAGGCTGCGCTCGTTTCGACGGCCTGCTAGCTGAAATCCATCGCAGGCAAATGGGGCACATGAGCTCTCCGGTCGCCTACGTGCCCTTGGATCAGCAGGTGGCAGAGGAAGAGATCCTTGAAGAAAGGCTCAGCAAGGGAGTGCTCTCGACAGTGGACCCCACCTCAGATTTGCCTGTCTGCTTGCCCGGTCAATGCCTCGTGCGGCGCGACAACGGGCTTCAAATAATGAGCGTAGATTCCAGTGGTGGGAGATGTGCAATAAACTGTTAGCTTTTCGTACATAGTGCAGCAATCCGAGAGGTTGCGGTTGTGAGGGTCATGTGACCCAGAATGTCTCACTGCAGAATGCTGGCCAAGCCGGCAGCCTGCGAAAGAACCAGGGCAGTGCGTTCAACTACCAGGTGCTCTAAGCTCCTGGAAAATGCAGATTGAAAGGCTGCATTCAATGCAACGACTGCACCTGCGCATGTGCAAGCAAAGAGCCGCGCAATGCATGCCCTAGTCCAGGACGTTGCGAACAAAGACCATGCAAGTCGTGTGCGTAGTGGCGTAATGTCGGTATTGTACAGCTCATCCCAATCAAAGCGTCAACGTCAATTGTTGCGCGTCTGGTCATCTTCCGATGTCCCGAACAACCCCGAGCAAGCGTGCGCCACCCTTGTTTCCATCTGCGCAGCTGTGCATGCACAAGGTGTGATCCGTCAGGCATTTTGCGAGTAGAGATGGACCCAGCGCGGTGTTGACTATGCTGCGAGGATGTGTCCTTGCGCTGCTTTTTCTGCCGGGTTCACACAGCGTCGAGTGCAATGTAGATGGTGGCGAATACCTCGAACAGTATTGGCTAATGTTCCCCATGGAGTCGTGTCATGAATGTCCGCTCGGGCGGTACCGCCGTGCGGAGATGGCTTGCACACAGCTGTCGGGGCAGGAGACGAAGGAATGCCCCAAGTGCACTCCATGCCCAGACGGCCTAAGCACAAAACAGAAAGCCTCAACAACCGAGGAAGCTTGTGACGTGGAGTGGAACATGACATCCTTTATGCACTCGGTGTCTTTTCTGATCGTCGATGCCTTTCTAGCCTCACTCGTCGTGCTGATCCCCTGCTGTTGCCTTATCTGCTACTGCTGCCGGCTTGCGGGCAAGGACTCTGCACGTGCCGACATTGCTAGAGAGAGCACTGTGGTGACAGTCGGCGCTCGAAACACTGGCAGGCATGGGTCCAAGAGCTCTGTCCGACCTGATGGTGATTGCCACACGAGCACTGTTGTGAACATTGGTGCTCGGAAGAGTACCAGGAATAGCTCAAAAGACTCCACCAGAGGAGTTGCTAGGGCTGACACAGATGGCAGCTCCAACGTTATTCCTTTCGTCGCCACAAACAGCGGGAGTAGACAGGGCTCCAAAACCTCCAATCGGCCCAAAGAGAGTGGTAGCTCGGATCACATCACGACCGTCGAAATGTTCGTCGCGGACACGACTGGCACTCCGATGTCTTTGCGGCCAACTTTGAGCACCGGTTCTTCGAATTTGCTAAAGGTTGCCCCTAGCAGCAGCAGTAGGCATGGCTCCAAAAACTCATTCCGACCCAGTGGGACCGGGAATGGTGCAAGCGCCCTGGCGGCCCCAAAGAGTCCGAGATCGAGAAGCCACCGGAGTGTTCGCATCCTTGATCCTGCAGACGATGCAGAACAGGGGCGTTGGGCATTCCCTTCACCGAAGGAGGCGCCCAAACAGTCGCTCGCCGGGGAACCATCACGTGGCAGCATGTCTGTACAGGATTATCAAGATCTCAGCTAGTAGTGCTAGTTGTGCAGCACAATACAATTTTTGGAGGGCATCCGAAATCGGGATCCCTATCTTAACTTTCTGGGCTGCATAGGCACGACGCACCCTCTTTGAGTTAACGATCTACGTGCGAAACTGGGTTGAGGGAAACCCTAGCCCAACATTGCTCGACTTACGAAGATTTCACAGGTCTCGAACGTGTCTGAGTCGCAATACGCCAAAGGCGTAAGATGGCACTCTGGACGCTGATTATTTGTTGGCTTGGGACAAGATGTGAAGCAGTAGCCGATGGAAGTGTGCATGCATGGAGGTGTTGTCATGGTACTGGTACTAACTCGTGACTTTGGCTTTGGCTTGAGCTCGCTTCTGCAAAAGCGCTGGTCGCAAGATGGAGTTGGAAACCCAAAGACTGGAGGACCAGATTCCTGACTGTCTCTCTGTCTGTCTATCTGTCTATCTCTTCCCCCTCGCTCGCTCGCTCGCTCTCTCTCTCTCTCTCCGTCTCTCCCCTCGCTCTCGCTCTCTCTTCTACGCCACCAGCACACTTAGAGCGCACGTGTCCCCGTTGCTAATCCTTGCTGTTCATTTGAGACCCTCGAACGGCCCTCGGGCAAACGCTTCAGAAAGTGCTTATTGCTGGAGGAGTCGCGGGACCTCCTGGAAGATGGACCGAAACCAGCGCCTACACTTGCATCGTGCCAGAAGGCACCCTGTTCAGCTGACTTGTGACCTATCCATGGCTAGCCGCTCAAGCCATGCCGGGCCATGCCATTCGCCAGCGAGGTCAAAAAGTGGACTTTGGGCATCGTGATCGGGGCCGCGTTCCTGGTCATGTGTAGGCCAGCTCGGAGCGGTTAATATTCTCAACACAGATAGGCGTAGGATCCCAGAGCACTCAGCATTTCAGTGGTTCCTGCGAGAGGTATGCTGGCAGTCTGAATCTGTTTAGCACATCGTCAGCGGCTTCAGTGGCTATGTTAAGCGAAGAGAACGAGGAGATAGCCTGGAGCTCGTTTGCCCCTCTCGCATAAAAAGCCAGAATTGAGTCAGCGCGCCCGAGGTTGGAAAATGTGCCGGCAGCATCCCTGCCCGAAACTCGAGATGCTTCAGTAGTTCAGGCTGCCATTCCCATCGATGGCTTAGGTCGAAGGAACTGCCGCGAACATCCAGGTAGTCAGTGCTGTCTGGAATGTTCCAGGCCCGCTTGACTGCTTTACAACACGAGCTCCCAGACCCCATTTTTCAGGCGACGAGGCCGCACCAGTCAGGGCTCTTGGCAGCGCTATTTCAGTGCCATTGACGAGCCGGGCCTATTTTGGTACATCGTGTGTGAGCCTTTGACATGGCCAGTTATATCACATCTCGAGGCACATGAACAGGGATAACAGAAGCTGTCCACACTTGGAAATCCAGGTTCTACGGCGGAGTACAATCCGAAAGAATACTTTGAGCCCTGGCAACAATTCTTCTTCCAGACTGCATGACCATGCTAGCTGCTAGTGGGCGTTCCTGTGAGCTCGAGATTGAGCTTGACGGGTGAATGTCGGACTGCAGGCTCAGAACCTTCTGGGCAAGCAGCTGATGTTTACAATCGATCTTTCCAGTGCTGGTTGTGGTTCCCCTGGCGAATTCTGAAGATGTGCAGGCAAACACTTCGCTTGTAGCAGTTTGTCTGCCTCTGCCTGCCATCGAGCCAAGGTTGCAACGCGGCTTTTTACCTAACGTCAATGGCATATGTGGAAAAGGAGACGGATTGCAAGGACTACTACTGCGATGCCATGAGCGTTTGCGGCGTTCGCTGTCCGGAGATTGACATCATGGAAGCCAACAAACATGCCTTCCGCTCGACGCTCCACGACGGGATCTCGAACCAAGAGCTCCCCACGGGCGGCTTCGGCGGGGGAGGTGCCTTGTCGGTGTCGATGTCACCATGCCTCGCTGGTCTGCCGCGCATGTTTTTAAGTGTTTCCACTTAGGCAAAGGATGGGTCGGGCCGCGGGACTGGTCGAGCGAGCAGTCCCGCAGAGGCACGTGGCAGCGAAAGGCGCCTTTCTTGCGGCTTACCGCGCTCAGGTATGGTCCTGGGGCGCGGTGCATCGACACTAACAACCCCTTCCAGGTACAGTAGCTGAAATGGGTTTCTTTTGCAGCTTTAAGCTTCCGCCCGGCAGGTCGCAGCCAGGTTCCCGGTGGACATGTATGGGAAGCTGGCAGGCATGGAGGTTGTCTTGCTGCAGCTCTCAGCTCAGATGCTTTGTCCGCACGGGAGGATTCCCTTTCATGTCCGAAGACACGATTCTACAGTTTAAGTGGCTTCATTTCCAGACATGGTTCCCCGGACCATTTAGGAGAAACTGTGAGCTGCTAGTGGACATCTCCGAGTACAAGGATCCCGAGACAGGCTCGTACCAAGAAGTGAAGATGTGGGTCGAAGGTCTTCAACTTAAGGGCCAACGCGGCTGCTGCGAAGTATGGTACGGAAGACTTACAGCCGACTATTCGCATTGCAAAACGTTTCCTTGGGAGGCAATAGCTTCGAACTCTTCTTGTTATAGTGCTGTTGAAGCAGTCTACTGCTACTGCTGCTGCTGCTGCTGCTGCTGCTGCTGCTGCCACCACCGCCACCACCACCACCACCACCGCCACCACCACCGCCACCACCGCCACCACCGCCACCACCGCCACCCCCGCCACCGCCACCAGCACCACCGCCACCACCGCCACCACCGCCACCACCGCCACCACCGCCACCACCCCCACCACCACTACCACCTCCACCTCCACCTCCACCACCTCCACCTCCACCACCACCACCACCACCACCACCACCACCACCACCACCACCACCACCACCACCACCACCACCACCCCCGCCGCCGCCGCCGCCGCCGCCGCCGCCGCCGCCGCCGCCCGCCGCCACCGCCACCGTCACGGCCACCGCCACCGCCACCGCCCGCCACCGCCGGCCACCGCCGCGCACCGCCGCCACCGCCGCCACCGCCGCCACTGCCGCCACCGCCACCCACCCCACCGCCACCGCCGCCCACCACCGCCACCACCGCCACCGCCGCCCCCCACCCCCCCCCCACCCCCACCCCCCCCCCCCCCCCCCCACCCCAACCCCCAACCCCCACCCCCACCCCCACCCCCACCACATCTACTTCTGCGGCTGGTTGTGGTCGTAGTAGTAGTAGTAGTAGTAGTAGTAGTAGTAGTAGTAGTACTAGTACTAGTACTAGTACTAGTACTAGTACTAGTAGTCGTAGTCGTAGTCGTAGTCGGAGTCGGAGTCGTAGTCGTAGTCGTAGTCGTAGTCGTAGTAGTAGTAGTAGTAGTAGTAGTAGTAGTAGCAGCAGTAGTAATCGTGGTAGTAGTAGTAGTAGTAGTAGTAGTAGTAGTAGTTGTAGTAGTAGCAGCAGCAGCAGTAGCAGTAGCAGTAGCAGTAGCCGTAGCCGTAGCCGTAGCCGTAGTCGTAGTCGTAGTCGTAGTCGTAGTAGTCGTAGTAGTAGTAGTAGTCGTCGTAGTCGTAGTCGTAGTCGTAGACTGCTACTACGACGACTGCTACGACTACTGACTACTACTCCACTCCTACTGCTACTGCCACTGCTACCGCCACTGCTACCGCCACTGCTTTTGCTACTCTACTGCCACTACTGTTGCTACTGCTCCTGCTCCTGCTCCTGCTCCTGCTCCTGCTCCTGCTCCTGCTCCTGCTCCTGCTGCACTATGGTTTAGCAGCCTAGCAAACCGCCGATCTTGGAACTACTGACACTCTCCGGTCAGTCCAAGAGCCACAGACTTTCAGAGACTGTCCGGCGCAGGTGATGACATGCTTCATTTGTTGGGGAAGACTTTGGAGGCAGGAATGACTCCCATCGTTAGCTACTGGAAATCTCGGACAATGACTTGGTTGGATGGCCATGGCCCAGACGAAGTTGACAGCGGCTTGTGCGAGAAATCGGAGGACGAAGAGCCTCAGTGCTCAGACATTTTGGGCAGACAGGAGGTCGAATTTTCATTCTTTTCGATCACAGACCTGGTGGCATAGAGGTGAAGCCATCTTGCTACCACACCTCTCAGCATCTTGAGTATAGTCATGAGTCCACATGCTGGAGGAATGCATCCTCAAAGGGGATTCTCTGTCCTGGCATGTAGGGCAGTGTTTGACGCTCTTCCCTCCTGGAAGCTTCGAGCACTGCCGTGACACTCGCTGCCCTATGCAGTTTTCTCGGATACTTTTAATGCTGACTTCTTTGATGGCAGCCGCTGTACCTCGAGGAGGTTTAGGGTATGCTGGCGGGTAAACGAATGACCTTTGATGCATTGTCTGCCTCCGGCAAGTCGGGATGATCACCGAGCACTTTCTCCCGTTGTCATGTTTCAGCTCGAGCCTGGGTGCACCACAAGTCGAAACATGTGGTGGTTATTTAGATTCAATCATCGATTTCAAACTTGTCATCATCGGCCAGCTTTTCCCGAAAAATGTCCCCTTAGCGTCTCAAGGGGCAGATGTTGTCATCTACAAAACTGAGAGAGAACAGCTGTGATGCATTGAAATCAGAAGGCCTAAAGCTGAGTAGGGCCGTCACAGTCGCATCTTTTAGGTCTTAGCATGCTCTGATGGGCGCCTCTTTGGCCTCTTGCGAGCGATGTGTTGGACCGGGAGAGCGCTTGGCATCCGGAGCGGCATCAGTCACCCGGCATGCAGTTTGCTCCAAGCGGCCAGGGTGAAGTCAGTTCCAGAGCGCTTGCATGTCGAGGATGCGTACAAAGCGGAGAGCTCCTCCATGCTCCCAAGCGGCCACCTCGGTGGGTGGTCACTTGCGGCCTCTTGCAGCTTTACAGACCTGTGCCGGCTCAGATGGGCCACCAACGCGGCTGACAGACGCGGCGGTCGCCCGTTCAGACGATGATGTGGTCTCCCTCTCTCCGCAGCCTGGATGCCACTGAGCCATCTGATGGCAGTGAAGCTTCGGGCGCCGCGACTCAGGCAGGAGATTCTCGCCAACGTTTTCAAGAGGCTGCAGCGGGCCCACGAGGATGGGCTCAGGGACTTAGAGCAGAGTTGGATCTTGATGATGCCACTGTGCAGGAACATCTTGTGCAAAGCCACAAGCTCCTGCAAGAACTTGAGGTGGGACTGGAGGCAGGACCACATCCGCTTCGCTTTCATAAGTTGACGCACGCATGCCACGAGTGTCGCCAATTCCAAGTTGAGGTGCCAAAATCTGAAGTAAAAGCCTGCATGCGAAAGATCGCAGCAGAAAGGAACAGTCTCGAAGAGGACTCCCCGAGTGGCTTGAGACTTGAGCCCTCCTTCTGCTTCCTGTGCTTCAGGAGACGAGAGCGCACTCGGACTGGTGCGGCACAATGCTTGAGACACTCAACGCCTTGCGGGACGAGTCGGGCACTCGGACTCGGAGAGGCTGTGATTGGGTGCTACTGGTTACCGGGTAGCTTCGCCTTGGCGGTTCACTACTGAGGCCAGCAGTGCTTCAACCGGAAGAGGCCTCGATCTCGCTCTCGCTCGCGTCTTCGTCTCGCCGATCTCTCTTTCTCTCCCTCTCTCTCTCTCTCTCTCTCTCTCTCTCTCTCTCTCTCTCTCTCTCTCTCTCCTTCTCCCCTCCCCTACATCTCTATCTGTCCCCTCTCTCTCTCTCTCTGTGTCTCTGTGTCTCACTCTCACTCTCTGTCTCGTCGTTTGCTTTCCGGCTCAGAGGGCAGATTCGGGGACTCTTGGACTCTTGGCGTCATGCCGATCTACTACTGCATTTCTCTGGCGGGAAGGCTACCGATGATGTTGTGGCACAGAAGGAGCAGCCTGCTCGCAGCAATTTTTGTTGAGTCCTAGTCCGGCAGAGTGCAACCGCTTCCAGCATAGATTCCTCAGGCCTTCACTACAACAGGCAACGAATTTCATGCTTGCTGTCGGGGTGTGCGCACGGTGGTGCCCTTCTTAGTTTGCCGACACTGCAGATTGGCAGGATGTGGCGATAGCTGTGAGCAACCAGTACTTCGAGAGCACAGACACTGCAGGAGCCAGCAAGCGCCGCAAAGTGCAATGAGTTCAGCGTGCCTAGCACTCTGGGCTGCTAGGACGTCTCGCTAGTGATCCGAAGATCAGGGCAGTGACCCTGGCAGTTCTCCATAGTGCAGTGACTGCCGAAGTTGACCGTGAGTAGTCTTTTGTTCAGGCATCTCGTGCGTTTGGGCGTCGCGTCATGAGGATGCTTGCTGTTAGATGGACGTGTGTCAGCTGCAAAGAGCAGTCTCTTGCATCAAATCTAGTCCACATCCTGGTTTAGCAGCTGAGGCTTTACATCTGTCTCACGATAGCCTTGTTTGGACCTGGCGTCGTGACATTGATGAACCTCCCAGACGATCCAACGGTACCGCACCAGAACAGCACAAGCTTGCCGAAAGCTCTCCCAAGCATTAAGATCCAACAAGAAAAGGTGCTCATCCTGGATGTGATCATGTGCCTCATCGCTCTCGCTTTTGCAATGGAGATGGTTGGCCTGCTGCTCTCGGACACACACACACACACACGCAGACACTTTCTCGCTTTCTCTCTTGCAGAAATGTGTGAAGTTCACTGTCAAGTTCTTCTCAGCAGGACGAGATGTACAGATTCTCGTTCTTCTTTTGGCCGGCAGCCGAGAGAGCGGAGTAAGGGATGGTTGGCGTTCAAGACGAGCGCTTCACTCGACACCAGGATGGACCTCTTGGGAACCCTTTCGATGGCATTTGAGATTTCCTTCCTACTTGGCCAGTACTTGAATTCGAACACCGTCAGAAGCCTACCCAAGATTTAAGACTTGCAGACTTGCTTGTCCAACACCCTCGCCTGAGGTTGTCCTCAGAACCGCTAGAACAGCCAAGCTGGGGGCAAGAATTGGAAGGCTGATCAAGCTCGTGAAATGCGTTAGCAACTGTGCTTGAAGCGCCGAAGAAGTGCTCATACAAGGAGGGTTTGAGCGCCTTGCCATTCAAGGTATGTTCTACAGATCAGCAGCGAAAACGAGTCGGGTGGAAGCCAAAGTTCTGGCCAGAAGGCTTGTTGTGCTCCTGTCTACCCGGGTCTCTGTGATTGTCATTGTTATGGTGATGGCCAGGCTCGCAGTTTTCTTGGGGCGCGAGAAGTGAGTCTCTTTAGTGTATTGCGGCCTTTCCACGCTGACCAGCTCAGGTCGTGCCTCTTTCGGCATACCCCCTGTACCCCACGGAAGACATGTCCCTGACGCTGTGGCCGCAAAAGTTGGAGGACAGCTACTTCAGGGAGCTGCAAGACGGGCTAGCTGGAGCTTTGCAAGAAGCCATTGATCAAATGGTCCAGTTTTATGAGCCAGTCAATTACAGCCCCTTCCTTGTCAGAGGCTTTGGGGACGAACGAACCCTTGCAGCGAATCCTGTGCGGACGAGGAACTCGTTGAAAGTCTTGCTCGAAAGCTGCAGAGTTCAACGCCCCGACGGTTGTGATGTGGCTGTTATCTTCGATTTCACTGGCCCGAACCAAATGGATGCGCTGGTGGAAGTTGGCACGATTCTTTTCATTGTGCTGCTGATGGCAGTCACGAGCTTCGACTTGCAGAACGTCGTGGACAAGAACCTAGTCAAGCCTTTGGAGGGCATGTTGCACCATGTACGTGAAAACGCCGCGCACATTTTCGATCGTTTCGCCAAGCAGACGGAAGGCACAGAGGGTGCTGAGTTGGATGACGAGGAGCTCCAAGACCAACAGGGAGCGTCTGAGATTGAGCTGATCCAGGCCATCCTCGAAAAGCTCGCACGCCTGGCCAGTCTTGCCGAGAGCTCCAATAAGGCTTACACCCCAGCAGAGCTCGATGCCATGAATGCAGAAAACAAAGCCGTACTGATCGATATGCTAAATGTGCAAGTCCTCCAGTCCAGTGCCCAGAGCAAGCTGGGTGGTAAGAGGACCACCAAAGCCGACATCCACGCAACTTGGACACAGAACTGGAACCTTGATTTCCTGGAGTCCACTTTGGAGGAAATCCACGGCTATGTGCACTACATGTTCTTCCTGTCGCAGTTCGGCCTCGCCGCTCAATACACGGCAGAAGATCGCTTCCTCCTCTTCGTCCAAACAGTGGAGGCCAACTACAAGGATGCTTGCTCGAAGCTACCAGAAGGATCTTCTTACCGTTATGCTAAGGCTGTTTAGCTTTGAGGCATGATTTTTGCTGCTCCAGGTGTTTCGCGTAGCTCCATTCAAGCCCCAAGGACGTGCCATATCATTGCTTTCAGCATGCGGTGGATGTCTGCTTTACTGTTTTCCGTCTGCAGCAAATCACGCAAGCTGGAAAGTGGACAAGCGAACTGGAGCAGTATGCTCTGCTCGTGGCTGCTCTCAGCCACGACCTCGGCCATTTCGGCAGAACGAATCAGTTTCTGGTTGAGACGAAGCACGAGCTGGCACTGCGCTACAATGACAAGTCCCCTTTGGAAAACATGCACTGTGCTGCCCTGTTTCAGCTGTGCAGAGACCCGGACAAGGACGTGCCTGGACCTCAGGCATAGCCTGTGTTGGACCAGTCGAACATCGATGGCATGAAGCCTAATGTTACTGCGTGTGAGGTTCGTGCAAGCCTCCAAAGACGAGCAGAAGGAGGTGCGAAAAGTCTGTATTGCAACCATCCTGCACACGGACAACGTGCACCATTTCGACATGGTGAAGGACTGGTAAAGGTACATAGCATTTTGAACCATACCCCACGGTTTGCCCCACTGTTACTTGATTCAACGGCACATCGAAATACAGCACGTCTTCAGGACAACAGGAAACTAAGCCGAATACATGTAGACGAACATGATTGACAGCATGTATTTCTTGCATGAGCTGTAGGTCGCGTCTTACGATGTGCCGCCCCTATCTCGCCTGCCTCTAAATAAGTCTTCGTGGCAAAGTTGGCTAAATGAGGTGATCTTGTTTCAAGTGATGAGGAAGCATCGGATAGTAGTAGTTAGTGGTAGTCGTTGTAGTCGTAGTGGCACTGGTAGTGGTAGTGGCAGTAGCAATAGCAGTAGCAGTAGTAGAAGCAGCAGTAGAAGTAGAAGTGGAAGTAGAACTGGTACCAGTAATAGTAGTACTATTAGTTCTAGTCGTACTAGTAGTACTAGTAGCACTATCTGTAGCAGTAGTAGCAGTAGTAGTAGTAGTAGTAGTAGTAGAAGTAGACGTAGACGTAGACGTAGAAGTAGAAGTAGAAGTAGAAGTAGTAGTACCAGTGGTGGTGGTAGCAGCAGAAGTAGTAGAAGCAGTAGTAGCAGAAGTAGCTTCAGCAGCAGCAGTAGTCGTAGTCGTCGTAGTGGTAGTAGGAATTGTAGCTGTAGTCATAGTTCTTGCTATTTTTGTTGTTTGTCTTGACCCTTTGGATCAGTGTAGTAATACAGCTTCCAGGCTGGGGATGGGTTCCTGTTCGTTTCTCATAAGTATTCCTGTAAACATGGGGTGGGCGATGCATCGGCTTCTGTCGAAACTTGGGTTACTTGTTTGGATCTTGTTTTGACATATATTCTTCTAATTTCGTTTCTAACAACGTACCGACCGCTGAGATTTGCAAACGACGCACACACCATCACACAACAAAAGGCCAGCAAGATGATATCAAACTGCCGATGCAAGTGTGGCAGGGCTCAACTGTGCGGACTGCGGGGTATGTCACATGCAGAAACGCACAAGATTATGGGCTGAGATACGTTTAACCTGCAAGTGCTCGAAAATGCCAGCCTCAGCTGCGACCATGAATTTATGTAACATGATGTCCTATCTTTTTTGCGCGGCCTCTCTCTGTCATACATAGTATCAATAAAAAACGTCGGTCGCTCAATATGCACATGTCTGTCATGACACGACTCTGAGGGACCATGTTTCTCCTTCGCATGAGTTAGCGTGAGGACATAAGTGCCGTTTACGAGATGGAGTCCGAGACTTGCGACACCCAGTCCGGTCACCCCGAGGCCTGGCATCCGTTCTTGAACTTTGGTAGGGATGTCGGGCGACATGGTGTGCCCCATGGATTTGAGTTCGGACACGGAGATGATCCAGGCTTTCACGCAAGCCTACACCGAGAATGTCTTGAGTGGCAAGAACAAGCTCATGTGGCTGCAGCTTTTCTTGCACTTCGCCGATGTCTCCAATCCTTTGTACCTCGGCACTTCGCAGAGTCTGCGCCGTAGAGTCCGGCTTGGTTTGCGACTTGCGAGGAAGCCTTTCCACATTTGCCGTGCTTGGGCTTGGCGCGTCCTGGACGAGTTCTTCGAGCAGGGCGACGAGGAGAATGGCGATCACCGCTGTTTGTATTTGCTTCGTGCTGTTTGCAGGAAAGCAAGCTGGGAATCCCAATTGGGATGTTAAACGACAGGGAGAAGGTGCATAATAGTGGGAGTTTGTGCCGAATGCACAAGATCACAGCTCGAGCAACTCCAGGTGAACCGACCTGGTTCACAGCATGGTTTCATCAACTTTCTTGTGGCTCCTTTCGTCGCAGCGAGCGCGTCTAAGCAGCAACACCTTGCAGTCAGACAGTCACCGGGAATGTTGATGACTGGGCGAAACAGAGGTGAGAGTTTTTCCTGGCCTCCATCCTCTGCACACACAAATGGTGAAGAACGTGGAGGCATCACGCTCACTCCTACTCGCTCCAGGGATTGAAGATTTCACTCTCGTTCGTGCCAGGAGTGGCGGAACCTCTGGATAAAGGTCCGGATCTCAGGGAACTGAAGGCTTGCGTGGTGCTGGACTCAGCGACAAGCAAGGATGCCAAGCCGGGCGAGGAAGATATCGCCAAGAAGGATGCAGATGTTTGGATCATAGCTATGGCTTGCATGCTTGCATGGGGATTCCGGTCGTAGTCATTCGGCCAAGGTGAGTCGTTTGAAGGCACTCGATGCCGAGTTAACGTCGCGAAACAGAGCACCTGGCGCTCCAAAGATGACGCCTCGTGTCACGTAATGGCCGGGAAGCTTAGCGATCGCCAAGCCAGGGGCTGACGAAGAGAGCTGAGCCGCTAAGCTCAGGCAGAAAAGCTTCCGCTTGTGAGGGCATCCCGTTCAGCGGCATGCCTTACAGGATCCATGAAGCAGCTTTCAAGATTGCGAGCCCCTCAACTGGATAGATCCTTGAAGCGCGCGCCGGTTGTTGGCACACTTAGTAGATTGGTTTAGCTGTCCTTCAACGAGAGACATGCTCCGAACAACTTTCGCAACTGCTGCAGTGCGGAGCTCGCCGAACAAGTGGATCCTGCAGCATACCTGCAAGGTCTGTCGTGCATAGGTGTCCTCAGTCACACTCCTTGGTACAAGCCAAGTGCGTGATGCCACTGGGTAAAGACACGTGCGTGGAATTTGAAAAAGAGGTTGGCAAGCATCGGTTGTGCCATGGGTGCGATGCACGGCTCCCGCTCGCTTTCTTCACAGCGCAGTTGCAGCGTCTAAGCGGTCAGACATGAAGTAGTAGTTGGGCTTATGCCCGTGCTCCGGCATCTTCGTGGTATAGAGATTTGGTCGAGGAGCCATGTTCCGGTGGCTTGTATGCACAGGGAATCTTAGGCCCACTGCTTTTGCCTTGGGAGCTGCTTCTGTTGAAATTCGTGTGTGGACCTTGCTCATCTCAGGCTTCGCCTGCTGCCGCTCCTGCTCTTGTTCGGTCAGGAACAGGCGGAACAGGCTGAGCCACAGAGTTCACTCAGTGAAGGGACGGAGAAGACCGAAGAGCTGCAAAGCCGTGTTGCGACGCTGGAAAAGGAGATCTCCTTCTTGAACCGGATCTCAGAACTGGAAGCTCAGATGCAGGCCTTGCGCAAGCAGCTGGCGGACTGCGAGCGATCGCGGGACACGTCCTCTAAAACTGCAAACACAAGGACCTCATCTGAATACAGTCTGTTCAGTGTTGCGGCCGCTTTAACCAACGACTTGGCCAGTGCACTTTTGCCGATGGTGTTGGGCATCCTGGCCTATGTTTCTGCGACCACTGGCTTCGCTCGTGACGAGAAGTTGAAGAAAGCTCGCCACAGCTGCAGCTCGACGGATGGAGAGCCCTTTGCTGCACATGATTTGAGCAGCTCCTCCACGAAAAAAGTCCAGCCGAAGCGCATACGAGGTGATTCGCCTTCGACCGCGAAGTCACCGACAGCTAGGGAAGATGATGGAGGAATGGAGGCTATTGGAACGTTACCTGATCCGGATCCTCCAGATCCTTGTGACCATGGTGTTCCTGATGTTCCTTGCCAGAATGTCTCCAAGGAGGAGGAAATTCCTGCGGCAAGTCTGCTGCCGGAGCCGGACGAGCTTCCACAAGAGCACGCAGAAGAAGTGAGATGCTACCTCAGTCTCAGTGAGGCCCCTCCTGGGCTTCCACCTCCGTTTCGCCCGCCTCCCGGGCTAACAAGGGTGGAGCCACTGCCAGTGTTTCAACTGGACTTGAACAGGGTGCAGGATGTGGCGGATGCAGCGGATGCGGCGGATGCGGTGCTGGTCGCCGATTCTTACCTTCCCGATGCACCTCTCAACATGGTGCCCGGGAGCCTGCAGAGCTTGCAGAGCCTGGAAGGTGACGAGAACGACATGACGGACCAAGCCGCCTGTCACGAGGATGCGCAGGATGGGCATGAGCTAGAGCAACAGCAGATCACGCCAAATGCTCAGGAAGGTGAAGTGTGGCCGGAAGCTGAGGAAGACGACGGGGAGGATGGCGAGGAGGAGGACGAAGAGGAGGAGGAGGAAGAAACAGAGGAGAGATCAGAGCCTGAAGAGGCAACGAAACTCGCCGAACAGGTCGAGGAGAACGATCTTAACCAGCTGGCAGATCACAAGAATCACAATTCCAGCGGGACGAATGGAAACGTAAGCCACAAGAGGCCCAAGAAGAAGCACGGCAGTGGTGCGGAGGCTTGCAAGGAGAGAGGACGGCGTGCGAAACAGAAGCGCCCAGAAAGGGACGCAGCAGATCCAAAACCCAAAGTGAAAAAGAGGTCAGCTAGCCCTGATCAGCCTCACCTGGAGCAGCGGCAGTGTCGATCAAACATCGTTCTCCTTGCTCTGGCAGTTGCAGTGATAGCTGGGATTGGTTACAAAGCCCCTCTGTCGCACTTCGAAAGCTGCTGCGTTGCATCACTTCTCTGCCTAGTTACCTAGGGTACTTCCGCCCCAACAGTGTTCAGACATGCATGATTCGAGTTTACTGTTCCAACTTCCACGGTCCAGGTGATCGGGGTCCTTCCAGCACGTCACAGCAACTTGTCGTCCTTCATGGAGGAGTCCCTACCGGAGCATTGTACGAACGAAATACCAGGTCATGTCGTGGTGATGGGTCCGGAGTACAAACTTCCAAAGAAGATCGTGGAAACAAAGCCGAGCATCTCCTTGCACGCACCATGCTTTCTGAAAAGCTTCCAAAAGGTAAGCAAGAAGTACCGGCCGACAGGGAATTGGCATTGGTACAAGACGGGACAAGCTTCCGGAGAGCAGCTAAGCATTCAACATTCCCACGAGCCTCCGATCTTCTCGGCACGTGCGAGGGATGACAGCGCTGTGGTGACTTTCCTCACGGACAACATCTTTCCAAAGTTTGGTGAATTGAACGACATGAGCTACGAGTGGTACGTGCTTCAACAGGACGCAGGCTCGTTCCATGAAGTGTTTGTTTTGTTGCGCAAGCCACTCTGCATGATTCCTTGCATGGATCTAAGCTGGTGCTTGCGCTTTCGACGCTGCGAGGCTTCGTTGCGATGCTGCCAGATCCGGCCGCACATGAGTCCCTCCAGGAGGCTCAGAGACATTGGCGGCCTCTTTTCCAGAAACTGGCTCACACCTTCTACCCAAGATATTTCATGGCCTATGCATCCACCTTTGATGAACAGTCCCTGGAGTGGATTCGGAAGGACTTCGGTGTAACCTCTTTCCCAGCGGTTGTAGTCTACACAGGACACCCGCAAGACCAGCTGCAGATTGTCCAGCAAGACGTCCGCGAGATGACATACGACAACTTAGCACAGTTCATCCAGGATGTGGAGGATGGTTGCATGACGTGGCTACATCCGATCCTTACTTTTTACGATTTGAAGCCCATCACGGAGAAGGAGATGCCAACTTGCCAAATGAGAGCTTGAAGGGTGCTATGTCCCAACACTTCCATTATCGTGCGTGTTTAGCATTGTGCTGCTATTTTAACCCATTGGCACGAAATTAACATAGAGAGGGCTGCCACGCTGCAAGTGCTTGGGAAACAGCTATCGCCGCAGTGATGAGTCAGCGTGTACACTAGCCATTACCCCGCAATAGCTTGGCTTGCATCAAATGAACCAGGGAGGCTCAGATGTGCTAAAGCCAAGCGACCGTTTCACCAAAGCTGGCGCCAACTGGAAGAGCTGCCTGATCTCCTGTTCTGCATATCTTCTACAGTTGACACCTTCGAAAGCTTCGGCACGACAAAGCTTCACGAGGAGAAGGCATCACCCAGTGCTCGCAACAGATGGCTGTGAGTGTACATACAGGCACTCTGTAGGTGTCTTGCTCTTTCAAGTCTAGAGCCGCGCGCTGGCAAATGTGGAGATGGCCGCGAAAAAGGAGTATCGTGCCGGCCACGGTGGCCAGTCCCTGCCTCTCGGTGGCCGTGCATGAACATAGTGTTAGCGCAGAGCATTCCTTGCCCCTATCGGCCTCGAATGGAACCACCACACCAGCATGGACATGTCATGGCGGATCATGGCGAATGGCGGTTGTCAGCAAAGACACCTACCATCCTTAGAGTTCGATGTCTTCTGAGCTCCCGACTCCGCACATGGCAAGTTGGGCCGAGTTCTGAGCCTTTCGAAGGCAGGGCCCGGCACCTCTGGGAGCAGACTGCTAAGGCATGGCCGAGGACTTCCACGCGCTGCTGCCACAGGCGGGTGCCCGCCATGACCCGCCTCTGCCGTGCGAAGATGAAGTCCATGAGATCTGCTTGTGAGCAAGGCGCCCTATGCTGGCAAATGGGTTCCATTGATCACGTGTCCCAGGGCCTGGATCTTTTTGTAACCTCAAAACTCAAGACGATGCGGTATGTTTTATGTCAGGTCACGGTGGACTTTGCTTGCAAATTTGCTGGCGTCGCAGCCTTGTCTGACGAGCCGGTGTTCCCGCACTTCTGGCACCCTCCGTCGTCAAGGTTGGTCCAGATGACGTGGCATGCGATCTCGGCTGTGGATTGGGTGGTTGGTGCGTCGCAGCCGCAGAGTGGCAGCCCGAGGACTCTCTGGTTTTTCGGCTGCTGAAGCTTTGCAGAGTCAGGTGTGGAGCAAGAGCAATCGGCATTGACATCAATCCAGACAACCTGAAGCCCCACACCTACGCCTGCAGCTACGCTTGCTTTGTCCTGGCCTGCATTTTGTAGGCAAGCACAAGCAAGCGCTGAGCACGCTGGCCAGGAGCTCATGTTTGAGAGGGTCTCTTAAAGAATTGAAACGATGCCCACCCGTGCTGGACTAGTTTTTTCTGCTACATTTGTTTTCAACCCCAGGGGCTGGCAGGACGCAGCCCTGTTGGCTGCCATGAGGAGGACTGGAACCCAATTTCGCTGGACCTCCCGTCCCAACAGCTACCAAGCAGCCCAGCGACGACTCCAGCAAAGAAATCTCGCAGCTCCTACTTGGAGTTTTCACTTGCCCAAGTGCAAACTGACCCGTGCCAGCTGGTGTCGTTTGGGTCAGCAAAGGCACCTAGCGAAGAGTTGCGATGTGAGCCAGTTGACAGAAATCTGCGAGCTGTTTTGAAAGAGAAACTTGGGGGCACGGCGCTCGTTGAAGAGCCGCTCTCCGTGATATTCAGGCGTTCTCCGTGGACTGCCGGGCTCGTCTGTTGAGATGGTACTGCTTGTCTTTGTTTGCAGTTGGCCCCGAGCCCCGAGCACTCCAAGCGAGACAGTAAGGGACAGCGCCCCCTGCAGGGCGACTTCTGGCCTCCTGTTGTAGGGAGGCTGGTACAAGGATGTATGCCCTGTTACCATGCAGCAAAGCAGTGCAAAAGCTCGATAGAACCTGGTGCTGCCGAAGCCGTCTGCAAGCCAGTCTGCTTGTGCTTCTGTACCGTTTCGCGAGCCTGGTCTGCCTGACAGATTGCCGAAACCGCAAGTGCCGCAACAACTTGTTGGCAGCCGGCACAGCTTCGTCCGTCCTGAGGAATCTCGGCACGTGTCCTGGCCACAGCTCGGGTTTGTCCCCGAATCAGGAGGCATCGCTCCAAAACAGGACCCAAGCGTACAAGTAGACAAGTAGCTCAATCCCAACCCCCAAGCGTCACTCTGCACGGAGACCTCTGCACAGGGGCCTGATTCACAGCTCCCGTCCCGGAGCCCCAAGCGTGGACCAAGCCCCAAGCATAGCAGGCCGGGCCAGCACAAACGCGTACAAAGCTCAGGAACATGGAGCTTCGAAGATTTTCTAACCGGCAACCGCCTCAACGTCTACGTGGACGGGATGTTTTTAGAGCCGCTTCGTCAGTCTGCTGCAGAGCTCTGGAGGCACACGTGGCTAGAGGACTGAGTTTCTACTAGGGCCCGGATAAGCTACAGCAACACAGCCTGCAGCCGAAGCCGTGCAGCCACGACTTGAACCAAGCGCGGGGCGGACTTCAAGTGCAAGCTCTGTCAGGGTTTGCCACGTCTTTCTACGCGACTCACAGAAGTCGAAGGAAGTTTGGTTTGAAAAGATGCTGTAAATGGCGACTGCTGATGACTGGTGATGTCTGCGACATAGATGCTTGAGAAGAGAGACAATGAACGTGAACGTGTGGTGGCCGGCTTTGGACGACGTCTGTAGCGTTAATGACAGGCCCGTGCCAATGCACAGGGACTTGAAGTAGTACTGACAAACACTAAACCTCGCCTGATGATTCGTCGAGAGAGAGTGACAAAAATTGTTGGAAGAGTTTCCCTTGGCAGACCTCCAAAGCGCGGGCATGATACACCAACTGCATCTGACAAGTTCCTCAAGGTCGGGAGTTCCTCACTGTTTGTCCGCGGTCGCCAGGGACTCTACAGAAGCGTTGCAAGTCCACAAGCTCCACCTTTCCAACTCCACCGGCACAAACTTCAAGCAGCTGCCCCTGGTGGTGGTGACGCGATGCGCCGGACAAGCACTGCTCTTGGAAAGTTGCCTTCATCGATATATCAAGCACTGCCGGCCAGAGTGGTGCATCAGGCCGGAGGACACCGGAGCAGGTGTCTCCATGCGAACATTACCACCTGGAATCCGAATCGACGTTGCTGGAGTAACTCCAGTATAGGAGTCCGGGGACGGCAGCGCAACTCCAAGCAGGACTGGACTGGAGCGTTTCAAGAAGCCTGGTGGTCAAGTCACATCCTTGCCAGAAGCCACGTCCGAGAGCCTGAGCTTGCTTCCCTTGTACAGTCGGCAAGGTCCCGCGCGGCGTGACACCCGGAGCTTTAAAGCACTTCTGCTGCTAGAAGAAACGTCTCGCTCAACTACCTCTGCTATGCAACAGCGCTCAGAAACAGTTCCCCACAAGCCCCAAACCTAGCTCCGCGCAAGCCCGAAGCGGCACTTTGCCCACGCACAGCCCCCCCCCCCCACCTAAGTCCCCGCAGGCCCCAGGCATAGCCCCCCCCTGCGAGCCTGAGGCGTCGGAGATCTGCAGGGCGCTTGGGTGGCAGGACTAGGTTCCATCTTCAAGCTTGGCCACTCCCAGGTGTACGTTTCGGGAGGGTGATTTCACGTCGCCCAGCTTCTCACTGCGACGGGCCTGGCCATCTCGATGTGCTGACATGAGATGCAGAAAGCTGCACTTTGAGATTCCATGTGCAATCAGGCCTGATGAGGTGACAGTGTTGTTCGTGTACCTGCTCCCGTGGGCGCAAGAATCCCGAAGTTTGCGCAACATCGTTTGTGTCAAGACGAAGCTAATCGCTGCCGAGGCTGGAGTATTTGGAGGGCATATTCTTGCAAGCTATGCGACGTGGTTGCCGCTTAGCCCTGGGCTTACGCAGAATCGCAGCAACTCAGCGTCGAGCGGGTCGACGGTCAGGTGTCTTTTCAATTCCACCCTGCCAAGTTTGAGCCTGATGAAGTGTCGCTGTTTGGTGGACTAAAGCTCTACAGGCCTGGCCGTGGGTGGGTGAGTGAGGGTGCAAAGGAGATTGAAGCCACTGTAGGGCAGCATGCAAGGCAGCAGAACATTGGCGACATGCATCAAGGCGAGCTAGCCGTGGTCTCGTAGCGGCATGGAACTTCCGATGAAACTCTGTTGTAAGAGGGGTGCAACCCTGAGCGCAGGTTCAGAAGCTCAAGGCCCTGATAAGGCAGCGTGAAACATGTCCAGTTCTCTTCACTGCCGGATCGAGCTGTGCCGCAGGATTGTGAGTCCTTCTTGCACTCCATGGACTGAGTGGGTGTGCTCAACTTGCTCGATTCCCGGCCCTAAAATCACCTTGAGGTCCGCCAATGCCGGCCCAAGAGAAGAGAGAGCTCATGCTCGTGGGGTGGGGACAAACAAGGATGGTAGCAAGCTAACGTGCGACCAGACCTGCTGCACATGCAGATTCTAACATGCTTCTGCCCATTGGTGGAGCTTCATGCATTGGATTCTGATTTTCTTGGCTCAAAAGTTTGCATGTTCAACTTGCTTTTTAAACACTGAGGACAGGAACACCGACTCAGCATATGCTTTGCAGTGGGCCAGTCGTGAGACAACGAAAGACAAGAAGGAAGATGGCTTGCCCATCCTGCATCAGGGTAGGGAGAAAGCGCAACCACGTCATCGCCATGCCTAGTCCCAATGCTGGAAAGCCTCCCGAAGCATCGGAGGCATACACGAACATGCCAGCATGAAAGTTGTGGTTTGCAAGCATGCAGTCCCGGCCAAGCTGCCTTCCGAGGATGAGGAGTCAGCAGAAAGCGCGTCTGGCGGCAGGACACTCAGCCTTAGGCCCTCCACTGATCTTTGCCAATTGGTCGGGGGGGGCCCCTGCAGAGCAATGAGGCGAAGAGGCCGATGGTGGCGAAGGCGAGGGAGGCGAGTCGGAAGTGGACTCGGAAGCCAGCAGACTGCTCAGATTCTACAAGCATCCATTGCTTTCATTTCTTTGTAACGCGTCGCCATACCACCTGTCGAGATGATGCACACTGCCTGGCCAGCAGCCCGAGGCGATCCGGTGGCAACAGACAGCGAGGATAGCGAGGCTGGATTGACAATGTGAAAGTGGAACAGTTGTGAGGTTTTCTCACTGGTTTGCCGGTCGGTCCGTGCATTGCTGAGTGTCAGTTTTAGGGTTACTTGCAGTGGGCAACGGACCATAATTCATCACTCGGGCACCTCAACCAACAACGCAGAATCAGGTTTCGCAAAACGGAAAGACAAGGGCAACATCCAAGTTACATCTGGCGAAGCATGCCCCCGGCAAGCAAAGCTTAAGAATGTCGCAAGGTGTTGCCGCTGCCATTGCTTCTGTTTCCCAGGCCATGCCGGAGCAGAACATCCAGGACCGTCGTGGCCTCAGCAACCAGTGGAGCTGAGACAGAACACAAGCTGGAAGCTACAAGACCGCAACATGAGAGGCCCGACGAGGCAGACGCGAGGTCAGCGGGCTGTTCTGGATGGCAAGGATCGGAGGGACGACGAGGCAGCTGCCCGTCTTAGCAGAAGCAGCAGACCTGGACTCTGTTGGCTCTTCGTTCAGGATTTCTTCGCCAATGCAGGCTTTCGTGATGCGTCGTCCGACAGTGATTTCAATGATCACGAGGTCCGCAGAACGTGAGCGAGCTGCAGGTTGTTTTGTGTGCTGTGTGCAGGATTCCGATGATACACAAGCTACCGACTTCAGCCAAGCGCAAGATGATGCCAGCGCAGAGGACAAGGCTTGAGTCATGCTGGTTTGGAGATTCAGGCCGCAATGACCATGAACAAGCCAGGAGCCCCCAAGAGAGCCTCCGGCCGGACCCTTGTCGTCTGTCACAAGAAGACCGTGAACCACCAACGGTTCATGGTGCGAGGTGCGCGCCAGGAAGAAGCCAATGCTTCCTCCGAGCAGGCGGGAGTGTCAACCTCACAGAAGAATGAGCCGCAGCGCGAAGCTATCTCGCACCACACGAACGGACGTTTGCTTTCCTTTGGTAAATGCGAAACCCGGCCGCCACTCCGCCGAACCGCATTACTACTCCTGTTGCTGTTCTTGACTGCTCGTGCATGTGCCCCTTCGTTGTGCTTGGCAGACCTCCGGCCCCTTCTGGTTCTGGACCAGTAGGCCAAGCTTTGCTGGCACCTTCACATGCTACATGTTGGTTGGGTTGCAGCATGGAGAAGTACTGGCGCAAGGATCTTCTGAAGGCACCGCGCCAGCGAGGCGTCGACTCGTATGGAAGAAGTGTCCAAGTCACCTTTGCATCTTCAACCCAGGCGCGTCAGGCGACGAATTCCGCAGCTACTTCTGAGGTCCAACAGGTTGGGAACCAGCAGTGTCGGCACAGACCGAGACGGCTCACGCTGTGGAAAGGATTCTTCGCAAGTCCACGATGGAGATACGAGCCCACAGAGAGCTCAAGGCATTTACTTGTGCCTCCCGGTACCTGACCTTCAGATCACTCGGATCTGTGTGGAGGCTGGCCAAGCACATCCAAGGAGGCAGAGTCTTCAGGCGGGATCTGTTGCCGTTAGTGCTGACCGAAGCAGTGAGAGTGCCAGCTGCTGGCTGCTACTTTCGCCACCACCACCACCATCAGGAGCAATGGTAGTATGTAGTAACAAAAAAAGTAAGTAGTAACTTACTGGCTAGCACATGTGGTACTGTAGTACGTTGTAGTAGGTGCTGGCTATTGGCCATTGTGAAGTAAGGAGAAGTGACCTGCGATATGGTGCCCCAGTTATCTGTGTGTCACAGATCCGAGGTTCATGTCAGAGTCTAGGCGATTCGTGCTCACGGCAGCATGTGCGGAATCCCAACTAGGCTCCGGGTTCTGCACGAAAACAGACTACGGACACCGAGTTGGCACGAGCCCATTCTTGTCCAGCGCCTGCAGTTTCACTAGATCTTGGTCGGTCGGTCCACCCAGGGCTAGTTGAGGAATTGAAGAGCGAGGTGCACGACATACTGTACAAAATAGTTTTATGCAAGAAGAGAGGGTCGCGCTAAACTCGTTTCTCTCCAGAGCCAAAAAATGACCAGTCTAAGATGTGTTTACGGAAGGTGTCAACCGAGAACAATCCACTAGTCGGGTTTTGCGTAGCTCTTTGTAGCTATACAAGGCGTGGTTGTCAATTGCGGTTTCCGCGAGGGGGCACCGGTCCAAGTCATGCAGAAGCTGTTGTGCGTTCAATTGCAGTTTATTCCGTGCATCGGTGCTTAAGACCCGTTTCTGACAGCGCAGCTGGTCTTGCGGGTGGAATGGAAGAGCCGATTGGCGAATCAATAATTGATTCCGTGCACAGGGACCTAGCAAAAGTGGACCAGCCTTTTTCAATCCTACACTCAGGCCTGAACGCTGCGTGTTCCTGATCGGACAAGAAGAACAAATAGCTTTCCAGCGGCAAACATGTTAGCCAAACCGCTGTTGTCACAAGTGAACAGGTACATCCTGTGCGTGCGGGTCATTGCTCGCAAGAGTTTCCACCGAGGACTTGCATGTTCAGGCTGTGGGTCCATTGCGACATCAGCAGGGAAGGCGAGAGCAGTCCGGCATCGAAGCAAAGCTTGCGCGACATGAGCAGCAGACATCCAAACATTCTACGTCTGCTGGCACGCAAACATCAAGTGGGCTCACATGTACAATGTATGTTTCCGGAGAGAGCTAAACAAGTATTCGGTACTCTCCATGCCATGATTTTTTGCCACGCAAGGGACTGATGCCATTGAATTTGCCTGCGTGCTCCTGGAGTACGGAGGGCGAAGCCAGATGAAAGCCTCGAAGTTGACAAGCTTACGAAGTGTGTGACGGCTGTGGTTAGTATCTTTATGCTCCATGTGTCGGCACGCAATTTGCGACTCTGAGCTGTGGGCACTCGTGCGAACCGACTTTTTGCTACATTGACATTCGGTTCAATGCAGACAAGAGTCTATGCCCATCAACGTCGCTCCGACGTGCATTCGCTTCCATACTAGTAGATAGGTACATCACGGTTGACACTTCTCCTGCTTGTGTAGCTTTCGTGCTCAACCTTCGGCATCAACAGACCTTGTCAGGTAAAGCCCGAAGCAAAGCCGCCGCAGCCTCAGAGAAGTGGAGTTGGGTTCGTCATAGCGAGGGCTCAAGTTTTGTGAAGATGTGCAAGAGGCTGACCCAAGAGGAGAGGCTCCAAGAGGCCGTTCGGACCGAGGCCCTCGCGGGCCTTTTGCCGAGAGTCGGAGTCCAGTCCTCCGTCCTGCGGCGGTGTGTTTTGTGTCTCCTCTCCTTGGGAAGGAGAGGAACCGACAGCAGTTCCAACAGTTGCAAAGTACTCGCCTCAGCGATATCGGCAACCGATGACCGCCAACACGGTCGATTTTGGAGCGAGGCGAGGAGGATGAGAAAAGGCGCTCATCGAAGCGAGCTCGAAGGCGAGATGTTGCCGCAAGCGGGCCAGTGAAAGGCAGCTGTCGCGCCAGGACGAAGTTTGCCGGACCGCGGCTGCGCTTTGTTTCGAGGCAGCGCACAGGCCAGATGCGGAAGAGCACCAGCATTATTTGATCAGGCTGTCCGACAGCGGGCAAGACATGGCCAGGGATGCCTGAAGCTTAACAGCAACCAAAAATGCCTCGGTGATGCTCCTCTGAACTGAATGTCTGAAGCTGCGATCCAGGCCATCGGGGCGCGCCCGGGTGTTGAGAGCTATGTGAAGCCCTGAGCCTCCAAGCCTTTGCTTCGGAGTTTCAAGGGCATCCTTATGAATGGAATTCCAAGGTCGAACTGATCGATTGCGATGTGTCCGACTTCCTCAGGTTGCCCAACACGCAAGAGGCTGACTGGCAACACTCCACGCTTCCTTATTTCTTCACTCGGTCGTGGGGTTGCAGAGGCCAAGCAAAGTCTATGGCTCGACTTGGAGGAAGACGACAGAAGTTTACAAAAAAAGGTCTTCGCGCATATACTCGCTTTGTGCCCTCTGCCGCTTGTGCCTGGGCAGTTCTCGCTGGATTGACGGTCGCAGCTTGCGAGGCTCAAGCTGGGCCCCGGGTCTGGCAATGGACAGAGCAGCCTTTTTGAGGGAATGTCTTGGGGCGCGTGATGAGTAAACAAAATGACCCTGTGGCCGCGGGCTTGTGCAGAGTCGGATAGCTCCAAATGCTGTCATCACTTGACCTCGAGTAAATGAACCAAGGCCGTTCCAGCATGTGGTGTGCCATTCCATTGCTTATCAAAGACTGTTCGTTGCACCCAGATGCTCCACGGCCTGCCCGGCTCTGATACCATGGAAACACCTTGCTTCCCTACAGAGCTCTGAACCCAACTTGCCACTGCCAGGCTTACTGCTTGTGGGTCCTCGCTGTTATCACTTTGGTGGTTGTGCCTTTATTCGCAACATTCGCAGCCGACAACGTGTGGGTTAAGGACTGCATGCTCAATTGGGTACAAAGCTTTCCCATGCCATACTAAGAGCATGATGCTGATGCGCTGCAATGTTTCGTGTCAAGACCGACGTAGTTTCGAAGTGAAGGGCAAACGTCAAGTATTCAGGCTAGGCAGGGAAAGGGCTGTCGGTGCTTGTATTCATCCGGAATGAAGCTATACATTTATACACACCAAGCAGATGAGAGTGACAAAAAAGTTGCTACGTTTGTATACCTATGTATATATATATATACAAAAACAATTTATGTATTTATATTTTGCATATATATATATACACATACATCTGTGTGCGCGCGTGTGTGTGTGTGTGTGTGTGTCATTGACATGGACTCATGTACATAGGTGTCGCAAAGCAAACAAAAAGTTCAGAGCACATTTCTCGATGTTTCTCAAAAGAACGAAGACCGGCTGAGTCGCGGCGATGCTGACTGCATCATCCTAAGCTGCCTGCTGCGTTCCTCGTCGCAGGAAAGTTTCTACAGGGTTCAGCCTGTGGTGACCTTCGCGAACCAGCTCTATGTCCTGATTGGTGGCAACACCACAGAAACCATGGTCGGTTGGAGTGCCTCGGCAAAGTGTTGTCAGACGTTTAGGCCTGTCTTGTGATTCGCTCAGGTACCCAGCCGCAACTCCAAGTATTGCTTCCAAAGCAGGCAGTGGCAATTCATGACTGGGCTATCGTTGCCAAAGACCCGCCCGCAGGTGAAAGTGCCAACCGTGCGTTCAAGCACAGAGGATAACAACCGTGACGGCATTGCCGACACTTTGCAGCTGTCGCTGGACGGGTGGTTTGCATGAGCTGAAGCCGGCTGGGGTTTCGAATGTGATGCGAGAGGATTTTCCATCAGAAGGGCAAACCTACCGCAGCGTCCTCCTGTTGGCGGTCTACGACGTACAGATTCAGGGCAAGGTGGTGCAACACCGATCAGACACACATCGCGGCTTGGGTGTTGGGTTGCGTGCAGTTCTCTTGAAGGTGGCAGAGCAGCTCAGCGGCCTCGTGGCGCTGGACGCCTCCAGTACATGCCTGTCTCTGGATTCGGCTCAAAAAGCGCTCAATCTCGTTGGGTGCTCCTCGAGGTCCGTACGGATCCTCGGGGCTGTGGGTCCATGGCCAGCTTTCATTCAGGCAGTGCCGGGCCAGACACGATTCGAGCAGATGATGCTGCACATATGACAGCTCCTCAAGCCGGAAGCAATCCTGACACGCTGGAGGCAGAAACTGCCTTTATACCAGAGCCCTGAGGCCACTGCTTGCTTTGTCCTTGGCCGTGACACAGCTTCTTCAGAATGTGAGGCGCGAAGCGTGTATGTGAGCAGCCCGTTGGACGTGAACTGGAGGCTCATACTGTATGTAGTTTTGCGAATTTTCTGTGATGTCAGCAAGAAAGCAGCCTTTGGATTTTGATGTCTTTCCTATTCCTGTTTCGCTGGCAAAAGTCTCTTCAGACGTGACGCCATGGCATCTAGTCGCAGTGAAACATGTCGTGAAGAACGAGGCACGCGATGCGCTATGTATTCTTGCCTTCCAGATTCGCAGGTCCAATTGGATTCCCGACAAGCAGCCGTTGTCGCTGGAAGAGCTCCTGTCCCGCTATGCACAGAGGTGGGTACAGCGGGAGCATGTGAGAGCTTCCGAGATTGTGCCGTTGCGCTGGTCACAAGCAATAGCACAGCTGTGGTAAGCCTTTCATGTATTTCATGCTGCCAGTTCCGTGTTTATCTTGATGTGGCCATGAGATGGTTCGCATGACCACCTCAGCCATGCAGCCCTTGAAGTTGGCTAAGTGCTGGCCGACGGTGAGCTTGCAATGACGTGTGGCCATGGCCCATGCGATCAGAACGTTTAAGTGAGCTCTTCCTTTGGCCACCTGCGGCACCGCCCGGGGGTGATGGCCTCTTTGACACCTTTGGACATGAGGCTTCGGTGGACAAGACAGTGAAGGAGGCAGAGCTACTGTTGGAAGCCAGCTCCTTCCAGGCAGGCTGATGACTTGCCTTTGCTTTGTCACTTGACAGTTGGTGTGTGAGTGACGAGCGGCTGCCGAACCGGGTCAGGGTCAGGAGAGAATTGCTTCATCCTTCCCGTCATTCACTCTGGCCGTGCACCCGTTAGCTACATTCGTGGCAAGAGGCGGATACCTAGAGCAAGGTCCCAGACAACTCAGCAAAGACATGCAACAACCATGCCCCGAACTGTCGGTGCCGACTAATTATGTGGAATAGTTAGTGGATACATTCCGACCCTGCGTCAGGCATGTGAAGACCTTCTGCTTGCAGAGAAAACCGACGGAAGCGATGTCCTTCGAAGTCCGTATGCTCTACGGCTTCTGCTTCACAGCTATCGGTGCCGAGGCAAGCAGAGCTGGGCCAGAAAGCTGGCAGAAGATCAGTTGGCAAAGCCCACGACGGCAACGCAGCATCCAATTGGGCAGGCAATGATGCAACTAAGCTTAGCCGAGCTTGAGCTCGCAGACAAGAGGCAGGATCGTGCCACTCACTTGGCCAAAGAAGCCCTGGCGGCGTTTTCGGAAATGGACATGCCATCTTACGAAGCATTGTGCTTGCTGGCTTTGGCTGGCGCGGCCAGTGCGAACGAGAGACACGGAGATGCAGCAGAGTTTGCCAAGGACGCCTTGGAGCGCTTTCAACAGGAAGATGACGAAAGCCAAAGCACCCGCGGACTGGGAAGGGCCTTGCTGGCTTTGGCAGAGGCCGAGCAGGCTCTGCAGGACTTCGCGGCCGCCGAGCGTTCGACAGAGAAATCCCTGGAAGTCTTCAAGTTCGGCAAAGATGAGGTATGGCAGGCCGCTGTTTCGGTTTTCGGACTTTCAAGAGGGTTGGGATGGAGTCGAGGATGGGCGGAGATGATAAAGGTAGAGAAGTCTGCGTGGTATGCAAGGTCTCTTTGCATCACAAGTCGCGACCTACTTCTATTACTGGCGTTTAGTACACGATTCAGGGCTGACCCGAGCCTGCAGACTGAAATCACCTTTGCAAGGCTTTTGTTCTTCAGATGAGGGCCGGTTGGTCTTTCAAGCAGGACTGCATTCGTTGTCGCCATAAAGATGTGACGTCTCGTGCCAAAGCCGCTGAGGACAACCCATCCCTTGCAGCAGTGTCGGCAGAGGCACATGAGACACAAGAGTTCTTGTGATGTCATCGCCCACATGACGGATGCAGCCGAGCAGGCTGCGATGCATCTCTGGCAGTCTAACGGACACCCACTGTCCAGAGAGGCGGGGGGCAGAAGCATACTGTAAGTTCTCCGAAGTGCCTGGAGCAACGGTCAGGCAGAGCTTGCTGAGATTGCCTCTTCGGCCTTCCTTGCAATGAACCAGCCGGAGGTGAAACTGTTCTGAAGCGAAAAATCTGAAAGCCTCTTTCTTCCGGCGAAAGTGTGGAAACAGGACGCCATGAAGACAGTGCGCGCTTGCTTGTATCGGGCCCGGATGATGGGCGACAGGCCGGCCAAGTTGCTGTCGTGAGCATCGTGTCAGATCGACACAAGCGCAGGACCATCGAAGGTCACATGCTCTATGTGACAATTCGTGTGAACCAGGCCTCGGCCGCGGAAGCGAAGCTTTGCAAAGGGTGACTATGAACCCTGTGCAAGGCCTTCGGAGACATGGAAGGGGCCATTAAAATGGCTGACAAGTCATGGGAGGTCTTCCATGAAATTGGAAGCAGGCTCATAGACGGCCTTGTTACTGCCTGTAGCCTCTAGCTCCCGGTCCTGCAGGAACGGGTCGTATCTATCCGTCAAATCGTGAGGAGGATGGAACTGGCCGCTCTCCGGGCCAAATGCGATGTCCAACTCGCAGGATGTTCTGTTGCATCGGCCCTTTCGCAGACACCATTTTTCGCGTGTTCACAGCGAGGGCCCACACCGGATCCGAAGGCCCTCGACACGGCCAAGCAGGCGAGATGTGGTGCAGACCTTGCCTGCATTGCAATGAACTGGATATAGGTCGTGGCCTCCGCTCAAGAGCTGGATCAGCTAGATTCGCAAAAGGACAGGGAGGGCTACTCGCGAAATGCACCGGGAGGCCTCTCTGCGCGCTAGGACGAAGAGCTTGGCAACGCGTGGCTGCAAATGTCCCGGTTAAGGGATGCCAGGGACGAATCAATAAATGCCAAAAAGGTCGGGGATCAGGATGCTTGATCAAGGGCACGATGCCTCGCAACTCAGCCAGGCACTAGAAACGGCCATCCAGCGTTTCGAAGCTGCTGGACAAAGGCATCTGGACTTCTCCGTGCAGCATCAGTCTAGTCTTGCATGGCCTATGTCGTCCAAGTGCAGGAGAAGGGCTGTAGAGGCAGCGCTGGAGCTTGCAGGCCTTAGCGCCAAGGTTCAGGACTTCCGTGCAGGTCATACGCGAACGCATGTTGCGGTTACCGCTTGGTGTCAAGCATGTGACCGTTGCAAGCAACAGACCGACAGGACTATTCAAGTGCTGTCGATATGGCAAGAGAGGCTCTGTCCGAAATGTTGATCTGTGGTTCGTGCCCCTTCGCACCCGAAAAGGTGAGATCCTTGTGTCGCAAGCACGACGATGTCAAGGCCTGCAGGGGGATGAAACTACAATCAGCAGAGCTTGAGGAAGAAGCACTGCTCGCTGCGCATGCCTCAGGGCGAAGCATCTGCATTGCTGCTACTCGGAAGCGTACAGGGCCTTGGATTTCTTTACTGCGCTGCCTTGAAGTGCAAAACAGATCAGTGGATAAGGTGCTTCTTCAGCGGCATGATAACCTGGAGGCTATGAAAGCTGCAGAGGAAGCGTCATGCACCCAACCAGACGGAACCCCTGCTGTCTGTTTCTAAGCATTCTAAGCCTTCAGAACTTCAAGGTTTGAGCTCTTCCGGCAAGTGGGTGACAGATTCCGAGAAGCCGAAGCCCTTTTCCTTGTGAGTCAGGCGGGCTTACCCTTGTCAAGGGCTTGTGTCAGTCGGTCGAAGCAAAGCTGCAAGGCTGGCCAGCAGTTCTGCACCATGTTCGCAGCTTATCAGCTAGACTCTTCGCACTTCTGCATGGAGATCACGAACCATCATCTGGAGCCACCACTGAAGGTCCAAAGCGACGGTGGCCAAACATTGGATCTACTTCGGTGCTGCTTTGCAGGCAAGCATCAACTTCCTTAATCGCTACCATCTCCTTTGCTCGCGAGCTTTGAAGGCTGCGAAAGATGCGGTGGCAATTGCTGAGTGGCTAAGCCCCATCTAGTGCAGTTCACCACAATCCAGTAGTAGGGCCTCTTCTATGAGCCAAGGCATCTTGGCGACATGCAACTGTGCGCGCACGCCTACGTGGTATTGGCCCAAATCCAGGTCGAATGCGCTGATGTTGTGCAACTCCTGCGAAGCACTGTCGGTGTCGTGGACCAACATGCCACGGATCAATGCATCCAGCAGCAACGCCTGCGAACAGGTCCTCTCTGTACCGCTCCTGCACGATGCGCTAAAGAATGCCCAAGAGGTGGCGATGCTTCAAGCTGCGGCAGCACGTTGAAAAGTGCAACGGCGTTTGAGGCATCTGATCTGTTCAGCCACTTGGGGCATGCAGCTGGCACTGCATGCAGTCTGGAACTGTCCGACCCTTTGAGACGGTATCGACGATTGGCATGCGGCATGGATGCAGTAATTCGCAAGAAGGCAAGCCTCGGCGTCGCACAGTCTGCAGAATCATGCTGCAGCTGTCCGCGCCTCGAAAGCGCTACACGGCATTCTGGCTGCACGATCTGGTCCATCTGCTCACGGCAGGTCGAAGCCTTGAACAAGGCGAAGTTGGTGTATGCCCAGGCGCTGGTGCTGCCACTAACAGGTCTGCCAGGAAGAGTCCGCAATACTTTTGCGGATCAGGCCAACATGCCAACAAGCCAATGCCTCATTTCCTTACGCATCTCATCGCTGGTATGAAAGGGTCGCGCCAATGATGTTGAACCCGTAGATGGTGTGGCCAGGAGTTCGGCGCTGCGATGAGTTCCTTCATGAGCTTGAATCAGCTGGGCAAGCGGCAGTGACGGCAGCCTTCTTAGCACATGCCGTCCTTATGTCCTGTCTCCGGTTTCGAGCTCACGCTCAGGAGACCAAAGTGTCGATCGAAGTGAAGCAGGCCACGTCGGGGGACGGAGCTGGAGCTGAGTCTGAGTGAGATGGGCAGGAAGCGCCGCGGCTGCCACAGCCCGTTCTCTCGCTGCCAAAGAGAGAACGCAGGGAAATCAAGGCGAGGAGCCGCAGCGGCGTATGGCGCAAGTGGCCCCTGGACCAGGATCCGATGTCATTGCAGGGAGAAGATCGCGTGATGGCGCAGCTGGCCAAGATTCTGCAGGCAGCTGCTGCTGAGTCTGACGATATGCGCTGTCGCCATGTCTTTGTCGTGCTCGTATGTTTGGTTTCAGAGCGCGTGTATATGGAGTATGTTGGGATATGTTGGGTAGGCGCCATAATATGGTGACACAGTCCTGCTGCTAATAACCTGTGGGAAGACACAGGAAAGCAATAGGTTGATATAGGATTACAAAAGAATAGACGGTTCCCTGAATCAGCTGGCCCCTTCCAATTCCAGGACTTGGGTGTGGAGGACGTCCATGACGATGACGGGTTGATGTCGTCGGGATTGACCAGCAGGCGGGTGTTTGGTTGTCTTGCAACCACAACCACCTCGTTGGTTTATAGAGCTTGAAGAGCCTGATGCTGGCCGGCACCTCAGTCCGTGCTGGAGAAGAGCGTGATCGCCAAAGTCTAAATCCCTCGTTATTTGGACGTCCAGAAATGCCGAGGGATAGCAAACTTGACCACAGGACACTATTTATGGACCATACTTAGCAACAGTGAGGAAGGCAGCAAGCCGACGGCCAATGTCAGCGCTGGGCACATCCGTGCGGGGAACTAGTGTCGGAGGTCTCAGCTCTATTGGACGAAATCTGGCTTGCACAAGCACAACTCTTGCAACATCGTGCTAAAACACTTGGCGACTTCAGAGACTCTGTTAGACTCGGTTCTCTAGTTCTGGCATGTTTCGCGGTCTACTTAGACATCTCACAAATGACGCGAGTGCTGGTGTACTTATGGCATCTTGCCTTGGCACCGCGGGCCCTCAACATGTTGAACATGAGACTATGCCGTTAGCACGTCAAGCCGATGTCGGGTGTTTGTCGGGCCTCTCAAGTGCAGTGGATTTTGCTGCTGACGAGCAACGAGCTGTTCGCTGCAGGGCGGCCATCCAGCTCAAAGGCGAGATGGAGCAAGCATTCGCAGGAATCCACATCCCTTCCACGGTCGCCTTTGATTACCCCAACATCAGGCCGGACAATACTTGCGAAAATAACTGAACTTGAAAACGGTGCTTTTGCCCAGGTCGCTGTCAAACTGGATAGCGGGTAGCATTGGGGAGGCAGAGCTTGCAGGATGACGTGTGAGATGCGAGAGTTTCAAGATGGTCATGGTGGAGTACGGATCCAGCACTCCGGGCCCACGAACCCTCCCTGCCAGCGACCACGACGCCGAAGAAGGGCTTTCGGCCGTTTCAAGCGGAGATGAGGATGCGCGGGCCTGGTTCGAGAAGAGTCGAAAAGAAGTACGTTTCTCACAGACTCCGCTTGTGCGGGCCTGTGCGATGGATATTTGCATCGGGCAGGAATGAGACCGTGATGTTTGAGCCCCTGGCCACTGGCCAAGATGACAGAGACTGCGAGATGTCCGTGTTCCTCGCAGTGGTAGATGAGACTTGTCCAGACTTTCAGGTCCCTCCCATGTGGGACTACACGCGTGCATCTCATTCCTCTCAATAGCACGCTTCGTGAACTCCACAAAGCTGTCCTTTCTCCTAGGCCGAGGCAGAGTTTCCGCATCCAGGCCAGGCTGGAGCTTGGGTGCTGCAGCTATACTGCTATACTTTCGTGATGCTGGGGATGGGCATGGCCAGATGACGATGGATGTGCACCCGCAGCTCGTCTACTACGTACCTTTGGCCTCAGAGGTGCACGGCCCAGTTACAGCACCGCTCCGCGCTGTAAGAGTGACATCTTACATCCAGTCAGGAAAAAGCTTGCGCAACGAGCAACGAGAAACGAGCACCTCTCAAGCTGCTCAAAATGTAACTGTTTGCGGAGTGTGTTCGGTGTTCCACCTATTACCACTGAATGTGCACAGCAGACGGTCGAAGCAACACGATTCAAATCTTTCTGCGGTGTTGTCCTTCTGCCGAAACGGACGGCCGTGTGTCAAATCAGAATCGGTCCAATACACGTCTGCCACAATCCAAGTCGCAAGAGTCTACGAGATACATGCGAAGGATTCGGGGGGCTTCAAGCCCTCCTCTCGTCATTGAAACGAGGTCCAGCAAAGTACTTCTTGTAGGATTTCTTGAGCTACCTCTGCCTTTGCTTTCTGTGTCCACCGCAGCCTGGCAGCGGCTGACACGTGGTAGCATTGCCAGAGCTTCTGAGGTCTTGAAGCTGGCGTGGGTTCAAGTCTTGGCATTCCTGATCCCAACCTGGGTGATAGTGGAGTGGATCAAGGCTGGGCTGCTGTTGGAGGGCCTATTGAGTTGCAGAGCTTCATCCCACGGACGGTCACCTCTGCAGCCGTGTTCAAGACCCAAGTTGCCCCAGTTAGTCCAAGTGACTTGCTTTTTGCCACGCTCGCTGCAGACCCCAATGCACTGTAACGTGCAATGTTGTCTACACTGCTGTAGGCATTGGCCGAGCCTTCGAAGTCCTGCCTCATTCCCTACGCCCTCAAGCAAGACAATAGCCCAACACTGCAGACACAAATTCTTCGACAGATCCCAGACCACGCTTCAGCCGCAATGTCTGGTGATTGACGCCGAAGTCGTTGCAATGATTTGTTGGAGGTGTATTGCGTTGCGGCCTTTGGAACGTCTGAAAGAACGCTTTGCAACTGCGCCAGACCCATGAGCTCGTACTGAGATCATGCAAGTCTCCGGGAATCTTTGCCGATGTTTTTGCGGAAACGGTTGGCAAGCTGGGAGCCTAACTTGGAGGTTTGTTGGTAGATCATAGGCGTGGACTCGGGGTTATTGTGATGACTTGGTAAGATCGTGATATGTGAGGTCGAAGCAGAGGATGATCGCCAGTTCGGCCTGGGGCAGATTATCTTCTGTAAGGGGGTGGAGCTTGTGTTGTGACGCATTGTGCAGCATACACTCGACACTTCCATTCCAGAGACCACCCTGCGCATGTTGCCTCAGGCTCGGTTTCAGTTGGACTTGGAGCAATCTCATCTTTGGACTGCCCCGACGATCTGCCAGAGGCGTAGGGCTGGGACTGGGAATGCTGCTACCAGCATAACGCAGTATGTTATCATCGACGCAGTTAAGCCGGGCTGAATCGGCACACAACAGCATGTCAGATTGTAGGAGGACAGAAACAAGTCCGTGACAGGTGTCTGGCATGCTGTCATACAGCGCAGAAGAGGCCCTCTTTTCAGGGTAAGTAGAGTTAGAGGTTTGTGTGGCATTGCGGCTTTCTTGAGTCATGACTTTGTGTGCTCTTCCGATAGGAGCTGCCTATGCGACGCCGCCTCAGCACTCTTCGCAATGTCCTCACCACTACTCGTCACTGGTCGCAGAAGTACGTGCAAGTCTTATATATCCAAACTCGAGGCGGCAAGCCAATCCGCGAGGGCGAACTATGGCATCTCTCCACAGAGGCCCCCAAAGGCTGAGTGCACTGGTGCACGTGATTCTTGGCAGCTTCGGGTGTGGCAGGATGTCGTGCGGAAAGTGCATGTATCACTCTTCATAAACGGCTTGTCCGTGTCTTTCGAGACGAAGAAGGTGTGCATGCTGTGCAACGACAAAAGGTTTGAGTTCAATCACCGGGCAATATTGCCAGGTACTCGTACCGCTTTCACCCTTCACTTTAGCGCGCGCCTGAGACATCTTCGCCAGAGTGGTTTGGGGCAAGGCTTTCACTTTCAGGCACCTGGGAGTTGCAGGGCTGGCATCACGACGGAAGAGAGACTTGCAATGCTTTGTTTGTGAAATCAGAAACCTTAGAATCGGCTTTCCGGTCGGACGACAGACTGCCTTCTCTCGATCTGCGCGATTTGAGTGCAGACCCCACCCACGGCAATGCGGCAAGATCGTGGCTGAAAACGCAGGCGGTAAAGAATGTCTCTGCTCAAGTTGAAAGCAAGCTGTTGTGCCCGCGCACAGTTAAGGAGGCAGCCGCGACACCGCCCGCATCACACAGAAATCGTGCTCCTTCGAAGACTCAACCGGTGCCATAAAGAAGACGCAACCTTGCATCTGCAAGAATTGGTTGCCGAGCTCAGCGGTTCACGAATTGTTCGAAAATGCGATGTCTTCGAACACCGACCCTACAAGATTCGAGGCTCGAGACCGTCACGAAGCCGGTTGCGAAAACGATTGACTCGGAGTGTGCGTGCTCACGCCCGCGGATTGTTGTCGGAAGACACGGAGAGCTCAGCAACCACAAGCTGAGGAGCAACTGAAGCACTATCCCGTGCTTCCGCAATCTTCCGCCTCCCAGATTGGACTGAGGTTCGGAACTGCAAATTCCAAGCTGCTTCTTTTGACGTCAAGGCATGGCGGGATGAGAGATTCGGCTTCTGGCCTCGAGAACCGGGCCCGCCCGCAGGAATTCGCAGACTTCAAGATCTTTAAGGCAGATGTGTTCGCAGCAATACCTACGATGTTTCGTTACATGGCATAGAGTCGAGTTTCTGGGAGCCCAGCAGGTGCATCTGCATGCAGCCAACCGATGCTATTTTTTTGGCGTGCGTGGGAGCACTTTGCTTGAAGGCACGCCAGAGAAACGAGGTGTTAATGCTTGAGCCTGTTGTACAACTTTACAACTGTTCGAAGTCCACCACGGCACTCTTGAGCCGCATCTTGTTGCCAGGTGAGGAGGTGCGAGCGGTGATCGGATTCCATACACAAGGCTTCGGATCCGAGTTGTTTGTTGAATCTGTTGTGCCAGGAGCGGTCCAACTGGGTTAGCGACATTTCAACGGCTATTCGGTTGGTGACCCAATCGCTCTTCCCACCGTTCCGTATTGCGTCGTGGCCTTAGTCTGCACCAGGGTCTGCACGGCTTCTTGTAGTTGCTGGCTGCGGCTCTGCAGGTGCAACCCGTTGGCGGCCGTGGTCACTGGCTCAGCCAAGTCTTCGAATAATTGCGTTCCTCCATTGCCTGCTGAGGATGGCACACAGAAGCGACTTCTCGCTGGCTATTTGCTGCACAGTGTCGGGGGCCTGTCAGAAAGCATGCCCAAACCGCTGTGCTTCTTGTTGATACCCGGTCTCACCTCGTCGGTCGAACATCAATGTCGAAAGCTGTAATTCACCGAGGACAGTCCGTGCCTGGTGTCTGCCCTGTACTGCGAATTGCAAGCACACAACAACGGCAAGGCGCTAGCTGTTCAAGGGAGGACTTATGCCCTGTGTTATGTGTGTGGTTTGCCAAGACATGGACCTGCGAAGGCGATGTTTGTGCTCTACGAGAACGAGAACTGCAAGGTTCCGACACCGTGCCGCTCGCCCATACTGCCGTAGCCTGGACTTGCAAAAGCAGAGGTCCCTGTCAAAGCCATGGCCCTCACGGCAGACTCCACAGTGGCAGAGAAGGTGTGGAGACTTCGTTGGGAAATATCAGCATGCCAGCAGCCGGAAGCTAAAGCCTTTGCTCGTGGCTGCGGCTCATGCTTTTGTCAGCTTGGCATCAATTGCAGCTGCTTCTCTGCCTGGGCCTTCAAGGAAGATACAGTTGGCGAGAGTGTAAGTGCCATGACACGCGTGACATTTTGCTCTCGCGTTCTGACATAGTCAAAGGTTGACCAGCGGGACTTTAGCAGCCGCACGCTCTCGGAGAGGCCACGATGCTCACACTGCGACGCGACCGTTTCTTTCTGCTCTCCTTCGAATGCTTCGTTGCATCTTCCTTCAGAGATGCAGGAAGCTTTGGCTTCGTGCTATCTCCAACATCAAAGTGAAGCTTGCCAATGCAGTGCTTCCGATAACTTGGCTCTACTTGTTTCTGTTACGATGACACGTTGGAACTTCTTGCGATGTTGTACTGGCTGTTTGCCGCCG